GACATTTATTCTGATTATGAGAGTAATACATGGTCATTGTAAAGGATTTGGAAAATACAGACATATAGAATAAGGAGGAAAATAAAATTTAGTTTGATAACTAAAAAACTATAGTTAACATTTTCTTTCCAGTATTTTCCTTTTCTTAAATTATATTTAATTATACAAGTAATGCATAAATATATCCTTCTTGCAAAAACTAAACCATTGCCTTCTCCCCACGTGCAGCTCCAGTTCTAGTGTCACCCCCCCCAGAGGTAAGTACTGTTATTGAGGTGATGTGTGTGCTCTCAGACCTTTTCCTTTTTTTTCTCTCTCTACATATATTTATAGAAAATAAATAGTATATTAACCCCCTTTTATGTTTTATGACAAAGGGTATCAAACCATGGATCTACACTTTCTTATTTTTGTTCGGTGATATATCTTGGAGATATTATTATGTTCAAACATACAGATCTAGCTTATGTGTGTTGCATAGTATTCCACAGTATGGAAATGCCTTGTTTTAGTAATTGCCCTGTCAATGGAAATTTATATGGTTTTAGCCCTCCTCCCTTTCCGCTTTTGCTATTACAAATAATGATATAATGAATATCCTTATACATATTTTTATGCCCATGTATGAGGTATTTTTCATGGGGAGATAATTGGAGAGTAGAGCTGCTCAGTTGGATGATAGTTACATTTAGTCCATATAATACATAGATTTTATTTTATTTTAAACTCTGTTTCTTCTGTTTGAGAGAGAGAGAGAGCATGCACGTGTGTGCACGAGGGGTGGGAGGGGTCGAGGGAGAAGGAGAGAGAGAATCTCAAGCAGGCTTCCCTCTCAGTGTGGAGCCCAACACAGGGCTCAATCCCATGACCCCAAGATCATGACCTGAACCGAAATCAAGAGTCGGACGCTTAACTGACTGAGCCACCCAGGCGCCTCAATACATTGATTTTAATACAGTCAAGCCAGTAGAGCGTCCAAAGGGCTTAACCACTTCATATTCCTGGCAGCTACATATGAAGATAACCCTTTCCTTATACTTTGCTAACACTTATTATTATCAAACCTTCTATTTTTTTCCAAACTGATGTACCAAAAATGGTGTGGCTTTCTTTTAATTCTTATTCACCTGATTATTAGGGTGGTTAGAGGATCTTTTTATGTATTTTTCAGCCATTTGTATTTCTCTTAATGAGAATTCTCTATTTATATGTATACTCATTTTATTGGGTTGTGATTTTCTTATTAATTTGTAGGTGTTCCATATATTCTAGGTTTTAGCTCTGTGTTCAGTGGGGAGTCGGCTTGAGGTTCTCTCTCTCTCTCTCTCTCCTTTTGCCCCTCCTCCCCTCAAATAATAAATAAATAAGTCTTTAAAAAATATTCGATGTTTTAATCCTTAATCTGATACATACAAAACAATTTCTTTCAGCCTGTCATTTAGTGATCTATATCTATAAATTTTTGTATGTGACTGGGATGAAACTGTATGTGCAATTTTACATTTTGTCTTTTTTCACTAAAATTATATTGCATTTTCCCCTATCATTAAAGATTCTCCAACAAGATGATTTTTAATGACTGAATATAATTTTATTGTGTGAATGTAACATTTTGTGTGTTTTTCTTTTTTTCTTCAAGCACAATTAGAGCTCAGCATGCTTCTGTTGAGCTGTAACTGTGTCTGTAATTTTGCTATTGAATATATTTGGAAAATTTTGCTAATGATTGCCTTTCTGAATATCTTTCTATTTAATCTTTGGGTGTATTTCCATTTCTTTAGGTAAGATTATAAGAAGGAAACTCATTAGGGCAAATACTATTAATGTAAATTTCATTGATACATACGGTGACATTTTTTTTCTGGAAATTTATTTTTTTAAAGATTTTATTTATTTATTTGACACAGAGAGAGACAGCGAGAGAGGGAACACAAGCAGGGGGAGTGGGAGAGGGAGAAGCAGGCTTCCTGCCGAGCAGGGAGCCTGATGTGGGGCTCGATCCCAGGACCCTGAGATCATGACCTGAGCCAAAGGCAGACGCTTAACCAACTGAGCCACCCAGGCGCCCCTTTTTCTGGAAATTTTGTACCAGCTTATCTTTCTATGAGTAGTATGTCAGCATGTCTTTCTCACAGAACTATCTCTCTCTCTTTTTTTTTTTAGAACTGTCTCTTAATTATTAAGTATATTAAGTATATTTAAAATATCAATTTTAAAGATCAGAAATAATACCTCACTGATAGTATAATTTGTATTTAATTGATGACCAGTGAAGAAGGATACTTCTCATTTATTAGCCATTTATAGTTCTTCTGATAGTTGTTAGTTCTTTTATGTAATTTTTCTCTAGGGTATTTGTTTTCTTATTGGTTTGAATGGGTTCTTTGCATATTACGGTTTTGACTCTTTATATTACTTTTGTAAATATTTTTACACTTTGTTCTTCACTTTAAATTCTGTTTATATATTTTTAGTGTGTAGAAGTTTTAAAATTTTGTTGTCATATGTGAGTTTTGTCTTGATGTTCTTTCATTGCTTCTATGCTTAGAAAATCCTTTTCAAGATAAGATACATATAAATTGATAGTACTTTTTATGATTGCATTTTTAATATTCAGTGCTTCAAGTCTATCTTAAATTTACTTTGGTTTATAATGTGTAAGACAGCTCTAAAATTTCTTTTTTTTCTTTAGTAATTAGCTTCACTATTTATTGACCAATATTTTGCCCCCCACTATTTATAGCATAACTTTTCTTCATACACTAAATTCTTCTGAGCACTGGAGACTAAAAACTGTTCCTGGGGTTTCTATTGGTCTTTCTGTTGATTTCCTGCTGAGTATCACATTGTTTTAATTAGATTTTTTTTTCAAAATGAAAATTTTTAAAAGGGCATTTTTTTTCCTAATGCCTCAATGCCACCAAAGGGCCATTTAGCTAAAAAAAAAAAAAAATCTATATAGGTACTTCTAGTTTAAAAATGGTGACATGCAGATAGCATTTCTCCCTTCTACTCCTGGAAATTAGCCTCAGGCAACAAAGACCATGAGAAACAAATCCATTGTTGGCCCATCCAGGAGATGGCTGAAATCTTGTAACACAAAGTAGGCGGCAAGCTTTTCCCAAGTAGCAGAGGTTGAGGGGGGGTGCATGCGGGAGGCACCCTGGCTACAGAGGGTAGGAAGGGAAAGCTTATTTTGCAAAGATGAGTGGCAGACTCAGAGGAGTTGAGTCAACATCTCTTGTTTGCCAAAGAGGTTGGAGGTGTGTGGACTGCCAATGGGAGCTTCTCTGCACCTACCTGGCTTCCAAAAAGTAGGAGAGGGAGAGCCAAGTAAAAATTACGCCATGAGCCAGATTTCTAGGAAGCTGTGGAGCGGGGGGCTCGTGGAAAGTCTGCATTGTGATGAAACCCTCTTCATGGGCTGGAATGAAAGATAAGTCAAATGAAGTTGTATATAAATCCTGAGTCTTACTTAGGGAAACTCCTGCTTGGCTGGAACCCAAGTGACTTTACCTTCCCATCCCTGTGTGCACACTAACCTCTTCCACAGCTGGCCCAGCGAGCACTCATCTTCTAATGAGCAATCAAAAAGGAAACAACGCAGGAAAACTTGTGACCAAACATTCATTGTGAATAAAACAATTGAATAAAGCCAACATGTGCCTGGTACAGGACTTCAAGGAGGATACAGCAGGGTGAGGAGAGGAGATGAAATGTGACCTGGCGGGATTCAGGAGAGAAAAGACAAAAAAAGTGAAGCCATCGCAGAAATAAAAGCAAGACCGAAAGGGACACAGGGAGTCAGGCGAGCATAGAGAAGAAATAGCAAGAATATGAGAGATGGAATGGAAATAAAGAATTAACAAGTAACAGGGAGGAAGTGAATAAAATGGAATACTTAGAGAAGAGATAGAGCACGTGCATTATGAGAATCCCCTGTAGAAAAGACTAGCCAGCGTAAGAGAGGAAGAAGGGAGAGGTAGCATAAGCATTTTGGTTTCTTCCATCTAGTAACTTTGGTGCTACACTGGCAAGTATTTAGAATGAGAATTATAAAGATAAAAAATTCGAAGTTGTAGGTGAGGGGACGAGAGGAGCAAGGAAGGGAAGGTAGGCTATTGTAGTGAATTAGTGGATGTTGTCTAAAAGGTATTAAAGTTACGGTTAAACTTCAAACTAGAACAAAAATACAAACCTCCCCAATGATCCGACCAAAGAAGGCAAAGCAAACAGATGTGTGGTGAAAGGTTTTGGAAGAGTGATCAAAACAAGAAGCATAACATAAAATAATGCAGCAGAGCTAAGACCAAGTTTATCTGTCAGGTGAACAGGTGTAAACATCATCCAGGACGGGAAAAAGAATTTTAAGATTGATCGCAAAGCCAAACACAGCCGTATTACATAGGAGACATAAAAAACAAAGTGGTCCAGGAAGGATGAACATAAAAATATGGAACAGAGGTATAGGTAGTCAGATTCAAAGAAAAATCTGGGATCACGGTCTCAATATGAGAAAAGACTAGATTCAGAGCAGAAAGGAATAAGTGAGCATGTTATGATGCTACGCGGTACAACCCACCACGAAGATAAAGTTGTGAATCTTTACACCAAGTCGAGCAACACCAGCCCTCCCAAAGCAAGAAAACAAGCGGTACCAGGTGATAGAGATTTACAGTAGTGATGGGAGGTTAAACTCATCTTTCCGCTCATGACAGAGTAAAGGACAGATATGAGGCTGGGCTAGAGGCGCCCAATTAAAATAATGAGTAAGGTACACCTAACATAGATGTTGGACTCCAAGCCCCAAAGACAGAGAATACACCTTCTTTTCAGGTGCCCGAAAGACCTTCATAAAACTGAGCATTCACAAAAACCTCAGTAAATTCCCTGAAGTAGAAATAACATAGACAAGGATGATAGGGGAAAATGAGTAACGGCTGGTAGAGCAAAGGGACCACCCCGCCTGAACAGATCCAGTTCTGAGTGGACACTGCTCCACCACACTGCGCTACACCCGTGAGTGTCAGCCCTGAATGCAGACAGTGTGCTCGGAGCACGGAGTAATGAAATAGAAATCCATGACAAACCCAGAAAATAAAGAGCCGTAACAACAACACAGCTCTTCACTCAGGTGAAAGAAGAATTCCAAACCAAACTGGAGATGTGTAGGAGATAGTACCAACACTTCATAAGGATCTGGCGGGGGGTTGAAGGGCTAACATGGAAGAGCTTAGTCATAAAGAAATACACTCATGTATTCTTCTTTCAGCTTTTGGATTGTCTTTCCTTGTCCCTGTAACCCTCTCCTGCTACTGCCATTCATTTCTTCTCAGGTGACCTCCGAGTGTCTTGAAGGAATGGATTTCTGTGGCACATTCCAGAGCCGTCTCAGCACAGAGGTGTCTCTAGCACTCAGTCAGGGTTCTCTCTATATAATTTTTTTCTCTTACTGTATGTCTATAGAAAGAGATTTATGATAAGGAATTCGTTTGTGGATAATGGAGGCTGAGAATCCCAAGATCTGTAACCAGCAAGCTGGGGACCCAGGAGAGCTGATGGAGTAAGTTCCAGTCTGAGTCTGAGTCCAAAGGCAGAGGAAGACTGACGTCCCAGCTTGAAGACAGTCTGAGAGCAAATTCTTCCTTATTCAGCCTTTTTGTTGTATTCAGTCCTTCAGTGGATTGGATGAGACCCACCCACACTGGGGAGGGCAATCTGCTTTACTCAGTCTACTAGCTCAGATACTAAACTCACCAGGAACGGTCTCACAAACACAACCAGAATAGCGTTCAACCAAATATTTGGACACCCTGTGGCCCAGTCAAGTTGACACATAAAATTAATCATCACAGCTACGAAGAGACATAGAAGAATTCCTGGACAAATGGGAAAAAAAAAAAGTGATTTTCGTTGGAAGCTTCGGTATTTAAAAGATGTCAGTTCTCCTTAAGTTTATTTATAAAATTAACACGATCCCAATAAAAATACAAACAGGATTTTTGGGAATTTGATAAGTGGATTCTAAATTTCATATGGCAGAATGCACAAGTTAGAATAGCCAGAAATATTCTGAAAAAGAAGCCCTACCTGGCACTACCATAAGTGAATGAGCTCAGAGCTGCCTTTTAAGCTGCTGTTCTTTTTTTTTTTTTTTAAAATTTTTTTTTTTAAATTTATTTATTTGACAGAGAGAGACACAACAAGAGAGGGAACACAAGCAGGGAGAGTGGGAGAGGGAGAAACAGGCTTCCCGCCGAGCAGGGAGCCTGATGTGGGGCTCGATCCCAGGACCCCGGGACCATGACCTGAGCCGAAGGCAGACGCCCAATGACTGAGCCACCCAGGCGCCCCTTAAGCTGCTGTTCTTAAGTTGCTCTTGTCCCTCAGCCTCACTGCTTTTGCTCAGATCTTTGACCGCACAGCATGTTCCTGCCACAGGACCCTTGCTCAGACTTTTGGCTATTTGAATGATGTGTGTTGCACCTGATTCATTACCTCTTGCCTATTTAATACCTACTCAGTCATCACTTCTTTAGGGAAATCTTTCCTTCTCACGTCTCTGATGGTAAGTCACTTTCCTTTGTTTTCTCTTTTTATTTCTTTCTTGCACACATTTCAGTTTGTAATTATGTAATCATTAGTGTGGTTGTCTGATCAATGTTCTTTTTGTTAGTAGGGTGTAACCTCAGTGCCTGACCTTGAGTAAGTTTTCAGTAAATATTTGTTGATGAATAATCTCCAGGCTGCTGGACTTTGAAGGGTGATTTAGACTCAGCAGCTGTCTTCTGAACTCAGTAATCAGGAGTCTGCCTAATGTGAGCCCTGTCCCGATATGCATTGCGATGAGATCTTAACGTGTTTTTTCTCTCACCCATGCACATCTGAAGATGTAAATGATTTTTGGTAGTGTTCTGCTTTAGATTGTAACCTTCTAAAATGAAGGGCCATATCTGAACTGTCTTGTGTGGCTTTTAATATTATGTCCAGTGGACACTGCTTTTTCATAAGAAGGAGATAGAACATTATGGAATGATTACATCATTTCCTGAAAAAGGATGCTAGTCATTGAAAGAAATAATCATAGCTATTGAAGAACTTATTTTCCTAATGAATTTTATAAAATGATGTACCATACAGGAGTGCCTGGGAGGCTCAGTCAGTTAAGGTTCTGACTCTTGATTGCAGCTGAGGTCATGATCTCAAGGTTGTAAGATTGAGCCTCGAGTCGGGTTCTGTGCTCAGTGTGGAGTCTACTTGAGATTCTCTCCCTCTCCCTCTGTCCCTCCCCCCGCTTGCGCGCGCTCTCTCTCTTAAATAAATACACAAAATCTTTAAAAACATAAAATAAAATGATGTGCCATACACACTCTACTTCATACCTCTCATAAGTGACCAAAGTCCTTATGTGGCCTGTTTTAGGAAATCTAGCTGTGGTGGTTAGGGTGGGGAAGTCACTTCTGAATATAAAGTGAGGCTGAACAGGATGTGGTTCTCTTATTAGATGTAGCTAAACGTTTTATGCTTTCTCCCCAGGAGTACATACCTACCATCTTCTTGGATATGTTGTGATTGGCAAACATGGGTTGTTACTAGGTGCACTGAAGGTTTTGCTTGGCATTTTGTGCATTGAAACGCACTAGTCATGACAACGCTTGTTATAAAGTTAAGGGCTTTGAGATGACTTTTGCATTCATGAACATTTCCAAACAGTAGTCTTTGGCAGTTCAGTAGCTGGGCAGCCATAAACCAGTTTTACTAGTGTGTCCCCTGAGGCCTTGTAGATAATTCCAGGAAACCCTCCTTTATGTGACCTCTTTCGTATTCCTTCAGAAATGAATGGCTTTCCTGTGTGTCTTTCACAAAGACCACAGGCCTTGGAAACTTCACAGAGGTAGGCATAGGTATCTGTCCAAGCTCAGGAATAATTCTCAAAAGAGGCTGGTCTCATGGCATAAGTAACAGAACCAGAGGTTGCAGACTATGACCCACAGGCCAAACCCATCAAATCTGCTCTGCAGATGTGTTTATTTGGATCATAGTGTTTCTTTTTTTAAACATTGAAATTAGTTGCCAAGCTGAAAAAACTGGGAATTTTTACTTCAGAAAGTCTGGATATATGACTTGTCTTGAAAGATTGGAAAAACTTGGCCACGTGGAGATCCGCCGTTCTGCATTGGCTGCCATCCGTGGAACTGAGAGCTGTTGCCTGGTGGATGGGGGGAAGACTCCTCAGGCACCACTCCACTACCATGGTCTCCCGCATTCATCTGAGTCAACTTCATGGGTCATGACCCCAAGATAGGCTATGAGATTGAGAATAAGTGGTATAGTGAATAATTAGGAAGGAGGCAGCCTTTTGCCTTCAACTCACACAATCTCTTTGGTAAACGAATGATGCCCTTTATTCAAAATATGAGGTGAGTTGATCATTTTTGTAGTCTGGAAACAGAAGGACAATGAAAACTGCCTCTTTGCTGTGGATGTTGTCACATTGAGTCTCTTCTGATAGTTTTGTGGGGACTCTTATCATCGGTTCTGGTCAGAGGTCAAGTAGCATTTGAGTTGGGTGGAAGGAAGCTCTCTAAAGTGGCAAAGGTCAATCCTTAAATGCCATCTTGGGAGAGCACATCATTCGTTCCTGGGCTGCCTCCCACCTCCCTCAGAATTTTGAGAGTGAAATGATCTGGACGAGACACTGCCTGGGCAACATTTTCGAGACATTGGGACTACAAAGAATGCTCTGTGTTTAATCTTGCTCTGCACAGCTGCACAGAAAAAGATTGTTTAAAACTCTTCTTTATATTTTGTCTTTTGGGGGAACCCTGTCAGGAAATTTATGGCCATCCCTTGGAAGTCCCAGTCATTCGGGAGCAACTAAACCACTATCGGAATGTGGCCGAAAACGCTCGAAGTGAACTGGCGGCAACTTTGGTCAAATTTGAATGTGCTCAGTCTGAGGTAAGACTGCATCTTTGTGACTTCAAAATGGACCATTTTATCTTCTAGAGTGAAGCTTTCTTCTAGAGTGAAGCAGAGTGTAGAGGTGATTAGAAATAGGACAGCTTTACACCTTTTGGCAAAGGTATTTATTCCTCTGGTTCATCTACTCCCCTTGTAGAGAACTCTTGAAAGGTTATGCATTTGCCGTGGTTCAAAGCAAAGTGATGTTGGCTGGTTCCCAGATGTCCGAGGAACTTCACAGCCTTGAGAGACCTGGAGGCACCTGATGACTTTGGTTGAAGCTGCCTTGGTGTTGGGGTATTTTTAGCATTTCCCTGAATGTGTACCTTTAATGTGGTTTGCTTGCAATCTGGAGGTTTTAGAATGGAATGCTGGATCCCTTCCTACTGCTAGTTCTGATTGGCTGGGGGAAATTCTAGGATGATGATTAGGATCCATCTTCCCTCTGGGCTGGATCAGGTCTATTGTGGAGTTTCTGAGAGAGTCTCTCTAGAACCGTTCTGCTCATAGCCTGGTGGCCCTGAGGGGTCCGGGGCTTGCTTGTGAGGTAACTAGCTCTTTCACTGGACTGCCAGGAGTCCACTGAGATGATTTGATACCTTTGTGTGTGTGTGTGTGTGTGTGTGTGTGTGTGTGTGTGTGTGTGTGTGTGTGTGAAAAATTGTATGCATGTATACTCATAGTTCCAAAGAAGTACATGCATTCATAAAGTTTTCTTATAGGGTGGCTCTGATATCTTAATAGGGCGTATACGTTGTTCAGTATTTTGATGCCACAGAATTCATAAAGGTTAAGATGTTTCTTTTGTATAAAACCTATAAGGATTTTCCTTTTCTTCCATATTTTCCCCAGAAATTGGAATGTTATTTTTTTATTATTAATATTTTTTTATTGCCCACGATAAGGATCCTGAAGGCAAGTGGGAGAAATACAGTGACATATCAAACAGTCTGTATCTACTTAGGAACCAGTTGTGGTCCTGAAATTACAAATATCTTAGCTTATAGGTTTCTTGTTTCATTGTCTGTCAGCAGCAATAGCAGCAATGCAGATTTAGAAAATGAGTTACCATTGAAAAATATCGCTTTTTGCAAAATACACCACAAATGTCTCTTGAGTGACACTAAATCACCTCGAGACATTGCTCAGTTGGTTTTGAAAGAGACAGAATATAAAGTCCATTGTTTAGGCATATGTTCCCATCTGATAATGTAGATACAAATATGAAAAAAAGAAAATAAAGTTGGATTAAGTCATGAACGAAAGAGTGAGATTTGAAATTGTGGTTTTGGGTTTCTTAAAAGTACTTCACACTTAACACCACTGAAGTCTTTTCCTCCTTCTTATGGCTTTTCCATGTTAGCTTCGGGACCTCCGATCCAGGATGCTTTCGAAAGAAGCCTCCTGTCAAGAGTTGAAAGCTGAAATGGAGAATTACAAAGAAAATAATGCTAGAAAATCATCTCTCCTCACCTCCCTGAGAGACAGAGTTCAGGAGCTGGAAGAAGAATCAGCAGCACTTACCACTTCTAAAATTAGAACCGAAATCACAGCTCACACTGCAATCAAGGAGAATCAGGAGTTAAAGAAGAAAGTTGCAGAACTAGATGAGAACTTACAGTAAGGGTATTTCAATATATCTTGTAGTTGTTAGCATGAAAATACTAGCTCCTGATAGCAGGATATGCCCTTGAAGGTACTGGCATGTTGTTGCCTTATTTGGCCCTGGAACTCAATTTGAAAAAAAAAAAAAATCTTGAAGCTCAAATATCTTTGGAGTCTTGAAACTTTTTCTCAAGCTCGTTTCCAAATGTTACCAGGAATCGTAACAAACAAGGCATTGTCCTAAACATGTTTATGTCCGATTGATTAGGGCTGCAAATGCTCATATACTGAATTTGGAAGATTTTCTGTAAGTAGAGGTTTAACCAGAGGCAGTGAAGTGGCACACAGAGGGAGGTGTTTATTCAAGAGCTGGCTATAAAACTACCCTGGAAGCCCAGACCACTCCAGACCACCCCGAACACTCCTCGTTAGCTTTTATTGCCCGTTTATGCGGAAAACTCACGAAACCTTAGTTTTCCACACTTAGTTCTGGCAAAAGGTAATTATTGAGACAAAACTGGGAACTAGTTGTTCCAAAAATATACTTTTAAAATTCTGCGCGTAATGAATAACTTTAATAATAAGATGCTTGATATTTATTTTACTTATTCCATCTTAAAAAAACAAAAAACCCCAGCACCACCACTCCTGTTCTCTTTTTCTCCCCCCATTTACAGCAAAACTCCTTAAAATGTTTGTACAGACTCATTGTCTCCAGTTCTTCTTCTCTCTTCTCTCTCGGGTCTCCTCCACTGAAACCACTCACTGTGGTGACCCATGACCACACACTGCGGATTAAATGGTCAGTCTTTTTTTTTTTTTTCTTAAAGATTTTATTTATCTATTCAACAGAGAGAGAGACAGCGAGGGCGGGAACACGAGCAGGGGGAGCGGGAGAGGGAGAAGCAGTCTCCCCGCGGAGCAGGGAGCCCGATGTGGGGCTCGATCCCAGGACCCTGGGACCATGACCTGAGCCGAAGGCAGACGCTTAACGACGGAGCCACCCAGGCGCCCTAAATGGGCAGTCTTTGTCTCACTTGACTTACCAGTATGTCAGGCACAGTTGGTCTCTCTCTCTGAACCACCCGCTTCTTCTGGCTGCTAGGACACTCCCCATGCCAGCTTTGTATCTTTCATTTCTAGCTGCCCTGCCATAGTCTCTTTCATTTTCCCCGTCTCATCTCGTTGACTTCCAAAGACTGGAGTGCCTGGGCACTCAGTCCTTGAATCTCTTCTGATTTCTATCTAAATTCAGTCTCTCGGTGATCTCATGACTTCAAGTATGATCTAAATGCTAGTGATGCCCACATTTCTGTGACTAGCCTGGATCTCTTCTCAGACCTCAAGAAAGACCCACATATTTTTACTACCTACGGGGCCTTAGCATGTGGATGTCCAGTGGGCATCTCACACTTAACATGGCCAAAACGGAGCTCCTGCTGTTCCCACAGAACCCTCCTGCTCCTTTCCTCACCTCTAGTGATAATTCCATTCCTCTAGTCCATCAGGTCAACAACCTTGGTCATCATCCTTGGTCCTCTTGCTCTTTCACACTCTGTGTCTGATCCTTCAACAAGTCCCCTCATCTCTACTTGCAGAATAAATCTACATTTTGACTACTTCCCATTGTTGCTCTCATTGCCACTAACCTGATTCCAGGGACTACCATCTCTCTCCGGGATGTTTGCAGTAGCCTCCGAAGTGATTTTCCTGCTGCTGCCTGTGACCCTCGCAGCCAGAGTGATCCTGTAAAAACACAATAGATCTCTTTGGTCCTCTGCTCAGAGGCCTGCAGTGACTTCTCTTCTCTCTCAGGGTAAAGACAAAGGATATTCTAAGACCTAGAAGGCTCATCCTGACCTGGTTTTGCTTCTATTCTCTCTTTCCATTCTTTTCGTTTCAGCTCACTGGCTTCTTTGCTGTCCTTTGAACGTAACAGGTGTGTTCCTACCTCAGGACTTTTGCACTTGCTAATCCCTTGGCCTGGAAAGCTCTTCCCCCAGATACGGCATGGCTGCCCCTCTGCTCCCTTTAGGTCTTCACTCAGAAGTTGCTTTCTCAGGTCTTCCATGAGTGACTACATCTAAAATTTTACTCTGCTCCCCTGCCAAATATTTCTTCTTCCCTTTCCTGCTTAATTTTTTCTCTCCAGCTTTTTTGTTTTTTTATAACAGTATACATTTCACATACATTGATTTTGATTATTGTCCATCTTCCTGACTAGAACGTAAGCTCCGTGAGGGCAAGGATGTTCATCTGTTTTGTTCACTACTGTATCTTTAGTACCTTTGATTGGGCTTGGTGCATAGTGAGTATCCAGTAAATATTTACTAAATAAATGAATAATACAAGTGATATGTACTAATTGTAAAAAAATTTTTTTAAGATATAGAAAATTGCCAAAAATATTAAAATTATTCAAGACCTTATGATTTCTGAAAAGCTATACTTCAAATTTTGGTGAACAGGTTTTCAGGTAGTTGACATCATATAATGAACTATGTTTTTTACTGAATAATATGTTGTAGACATATATTTCTTAAGATTTTATTTATTGATTGATCTGGAGCCAGGAGGAAGGGCAGAGGGAGAGAGAGAGAGAATCTCAAGCAGGCTCTGTGCTGAGTGTGGAGCCCAACATGGGGCTCGATTCACGACCCTGAGATCATGACCTGAGCCAAAATCAAGAGTTGGGCACTTAACCAGCTGAGCCACCCAGGCGCCCCTATGTTATACATATTTTAAAAAGTCACTCATAGCCCATGGTACCCATTGCCTGACATATCATAATTTACTTACCAGTTCTTTTTGTTATTTCTTGCAGACATTCAGGTTAGTTTCACTCAAAGAATTATTATAAACCAAGTGTATTCATTTGTATTCATATTTTCACAATGATGTGATTATGTCCTTAGGGTAGATTCCTAGGACTTTGTTGGGTCCAAGTGAAATGCAAATAGAAGTGGGAACAGTTCAGCCACACTTGGGATGGAGAAGCAGGATTGAAGCCTTGGACTGAATGGGTGGATTCATACACGTAAATCAATCCATCCACATCATGGCATTAACTGTGCTTTTCGTGAGCCAGAGAGACTGAATAAATTTTACCTTTTATATGCTGAAAATAAGAACTTAAGAGATATATTGATGTTGGTCTTTTATTGTTATACATTTTTCTAAATAGAAATATGATATGCTTTTGAGTGTATGCAATTACATGCTTTGTTAATCTTTGAATAGAATGAAAGAATTTGCAGTAAACAACATGGTAAAAAGGGAAAGCAATAATCATGTTTATTATCTAGGGTACTGAAAAAATGATACCAAATTACTGAAATGATTCTAATTTGCCTTTAAAGTATGTCTGTCTTTTGATGATCTCTTAGTCTCTAACATTTAAAGCATTAGAAATAGACCGTGCTATTTCAGCAAACCTATCTGAGATTTGAAATGAAATATTCATAGCAGAGCATAATCAACTGATTTTCCTTGACTGGCCCATCTCAATACTCTTTAAACACTCTGGATGTATGAAAACTAATAATGGTCTTTGCTGGTGATTGAACATCTCTCTCTTCTAGAGAGGGGGATCATCCACTGCTCCTGATATATTTTTTATTATAGTTATGCTTGGCCATGACCCAGGGTATGCCCTAAGTAACCCTTATATAGATCACTGCATAGTGTCTGAAAATAAAGCAAAGGATGATACGCTAGAAGAAATATAGCAGTACTGTCCTTCTTCTTCATGAGGACCCAACAGAGACCCATGACTATATACATCCATTGTGATCTAGAGATTTCCTGCCACTTCTGCAGATCCTAAATGGTCAAGGACAAGAGTCAGAGAGTCTGTCTCCTTTGCTGTTACTAGATCTAAGATGCCATGAAGATTTTTGTACATTTCTGCTAAGTGTAGGTGTCTGGCTTTGACTTTTCTCCTTCCTGTACAGGGCTCACATGACAATGATGTGCTCTGTGTCCAGGAAACTGTTGTGATGAAAGTGATGATTGGATCAGAGAGCTTAAGTTCTGAACTTTGTTTGACGAATGATCTCTTCTATAGTGTTACAACTTGACGTATGTGTTATTTGCCCTATAGAAAGTGTTTAAAGGAAAATGAGGAGAATAAGAATCAAGTCTCGAAGAATTGCAGGAAACATGAGGAATTTCTGTCTCAACTTGGTGACTGCTTAGATCCAGAGAAGAAGAATGAAAAGGCATCAGATGAAGATTTAATTCTAAAGGTGTATGCACATGAAAAAGACAATAAGTGTAGCGGTCATTCTGACATATGCCCTGAACGGAAGTGCTGTGTTTGAGTCTGGGGGTGGCAGAGGAATGGGACAGTAGCCCAAGTATGGCATTAATTGACTGTGTGACCTGGGACAAACCTTTTCACCTCTCTGAGCTCTATTCCAAAATCCTTTCCAACATTGTTTGGGATTAATTACTCTCCAGAAAAGATTAATTGTTTTGTCTAAAATATATTTAGGTTGCCAAATACAGTTAATTATTCATCTTAACAATGTGTTTTAGGGAGTTTTTTTGTTTTAGTTACAGACAGAAGCATACACACATGCAACCCAAACCAAAACCAGCTGTGTCATTTTTCGGATACTTACTGAGTATAAGGTTAAGATTAGTTCTAAAGTACTTTTTAATTTTCCATTGAAATCAAATAATAAAAAGGTTGCCAGTAAGGTGGAAATTAGTTGGATCAGTGAATAATTCACTTGGCACATAGTGATTCTTTAGGGTACCTGACAACGTTGGAGGTCCCACCCTGTCTTTGCTTATTTCACACCTTTCATATCCTTGCTTCCTGACAGATCTCCTTGCCCCCAATCTTTTTTATTAAAATTGAGGCGTAATTGACATGCAACATTATATTAGTTTCAGGGGTACAGCATAATGATTCAGCACTTCTATACACTGTGAAATGATCACCATAGTAAGTCTGGTCACCATCTGTCACCATGAGAGGTTACAAAAAACTTATTTTTTTCTTGGGAGGAGACCTTTCAAGATGTACTTTCCTGGCAACTTTCAAATGTGTACTAGGATACTGTTGACCGTAGTCACTATGCTGCACACCACATCTCCATCACCTATTCATTTCACAGCTGGACGTCTGTACCCCCCAAACCCTTCCCCACTGGCAACAACCACGCTGTTATTCTTATTCATGAGCTTGTGTTTTGTGTTTTGTTTTGTTTGCTCATTTGTTTTTTAGATTCCACACATAAGTGAAAGCAAAGAGTATTTGTCTTTCTCTTGACTTAGTTCACTTAGCATAATACTCTCAAAGTCCATCCATGTTGTCACAAATGGCAAAGTTTCATTCTCTTATTTTTTTTAAGAGAGTGCAAGTGGTGGGGGAGGGGCAGAGAGAGAGGGAGTGAGAGAGAATTTTAAGCAGGTTCCACACCCAGCACGGAGGCCAACGTGGGGCTCTATCTCACGGTCCAGACAGAGATCATGACCTGAGCCAAAATCAAAAGCTGGACCCTTAATGGACTGAGTCACCCAGGCGCCCCGCATATATCTTTCCTAAATAGTGTTTTTATTTTCTTGGGATAAATACTCAGAAGTGGAATTGCTGGATCATATGGTAATTCTATTTTTAATTTTTTGAGGAGCCTCCATACTGTTTTCCACAGTGGCTGTACCAGTTTACATTTCCACCCACAGTGCACAAGCTTTCCTCTTTCTCCACATCCTCTCCAACAGTTACTTTTTATCTTTTTGGTATTAACCATTCTGATGGATGTAAACTGAAACCTCATGTGGTTTTGATTTGTATTTCCTGGATGATGAATGATGTTGAACATCTTTTCATGTGTCTGCCATCTGTATGTCATCTTTGGCAAAATGGCTATTCAGGTCCTCTGCCCATTTTTTTTTTTTTTTAAAGATTTTATTATTTATTTGAGAGAGAGAGAGAAAGAGAGAGCGAGCATGTGCACACACGTGAGCAGTGGGGAGAGGCAGATGGAGAGGGAGAGGCAGACTCCACTGAGCAGGGAGCTGGACGTGGGGCTCAATCCCAGGACCCTGAGATCATGACCCAAGCTGAAGACAGACGTTTAACTGACTGAGTCACCCAGGCATCCCTGCCCATTTTTTTAATTGTATTTTTTTCCTATATGCATTCTCTATATATTTTGGATATTAACCTCTTGTCAGGTATATGATTTGCAAATATTTTCTTCCCATTCAGTAGGTTGCCTTTTCATCTTGTTGATGGTTTTCTTGGCCATGTAGAAGCTTTTCAGTGTGGTATAGTCTCACTTGTTTATTTTTGTTTTGCCTTTGCTGTTGGAGTCAGATCAAAAAAAAAAAAATTGCCAAGACTGATGTCAGTGAGTTTACTGTCTGTGTTTTTTTCCCAGGAATTTTATGGTTTCAGGCCTTATATTCAACTCTTTAATCCATTTTGAGTTCATTTTTGTGTGTGCTATAAGATAGTAGTCTAGTTTTATTCTTTTGCATGTGGCTGTCCAGTTTTCTCAACATCACCTATTAAAGAGACTGTCCTTTCCATATTGTATATTTTTGCCTCCTTTGTTGTAAATTAATTGACCACATGTGTGTGGGTTTATTTCTGGTCTCTCTATTCCATTCTGTTGATCTATTGTCTGCTTTTATGTTGTTACCATACTGTTTTGATGATGATACCTCTGTAATATCGTTTGGAATCAGGGAACAGGATGCCTCCAGTTTTGTTCTTTCTCAAGATTGTTATGTCTATTGAGGCTCTTTTGTGGTTCCATACAGACATTATCACTGTTCTGTGTCTCTGCAAGATGCCATTGGGATTTTGATAGGATTGCATTGAATCTATAGATTGCTTTGAGCAATACAGACTTTCTAACAGTATCAACTCTTCCAGTCCATGAGTGCAGAGTATCTTTCCATTTATTTGTGTCTCCTTCAGTTTCTTTCATTAACCCATGCAGCCAGTCTTAAAGGCCCCATCTCGGAGTTTTATTAGTAAGCTTCCCAACTGCACTTCCAGAAAACTGCAAAATCATTTCCGTTAACTTGAGGATGTGTTGCACTTGGCTGATGGGTTTTGATAGCTGAGGCGTGACAGCCTTGAGGGTGCTGGATGCATCTCCTCTTCCCTGTTGCACACCTGTGACCGGGAGCCTGGCTGTGAAAGTCCACAGTGCAGTGCAGTTCGGGAGACTGTTTTTAAAGCCACGTGATGGGGAGAAGAAAAGAGAACAAAGAACCTTCTTCTTTCATGACACCCTTTCCCCCTGTCAGAGACTAGCTCCAGGTGCTAACCTGGGAGTTGATACTGTATTAATTATGCCTCATTGTCTTCTGTATTTCCAATGCTTTGACATCCGGGGCCTTGCTGACCCAGGAGAGACTGACTCAGAGGGTTAGCCAGTTCCTCGTCAGTGATCCTCCTGGGAGCCCGGCTTTCATATGCAAACCAGCCGCTCCCACATCCCCAGCCCCAGTTTCTATATCAGGCTCTGGGCCGGTTTCTGTATCAGGCTCTGGGCTGCTGTCCGCCTTCCGCCTTCCCTGATCACCACGGGGCTAGGTACCCGACAGCTAGGGACAGCCCTTACACTCCTCAGAGTACTAACTAGCTAGTCCCGAACCTGCTCACCTCGCCTTGCTCACTCCCTCCTATGCAAACCACAACAAGGACTCTTGCCTCTGTTTTCCTTTGCTGTCCTGTCTCCTGACTGACCCATGCTTCGCTGCACGGCCTTGTACGGCAGGGCGTGCCCCCCCTTCTGGAAAACTGTGAGTAACAAACTGTTTTTCGAGGGCAGCTCTCTCCAGATCTGTTCACCGCACCATATGTGAATAACAAAAGAAACTATATTTTAAAACAGATACGGGAATTCTAGGGCTTTAGCATCTCAAAAAAAAAAAAAAAAAATCGCTGGCCAAGAGCAGAAAGGTTGCTATCTTATCAACACTCACCCAGGTGTTTCCCCGGAGGAGTGGAACAAAACCACTCCTTCAATTTCAAAACCCATTTCCTCCCTTTTATAGCTCTCCCAACCCCATGTGCACCCCCCCAAGAAACCAAAGAGGCGTTCCTAAGGACTTAGTTTGACATCCATTTCACAGGTATTTAGTGAGTGACTACTATAGGCTAGACACGATTCTGGGTGCTGGTGGTGCCGCAGTGAATGGGATAAGACTAAATCTGTGCTCTCCCAGAAGTTTCGTTATTGTGAGATAAAGATAATGAGGACAAAACAAATATCCACTATTATCCCACCTAGTAAATGGGGTTGTGGGGGTAGAGGGTGAGGCAGGGTAGAGGCGTGGCAGGCTAGTTGAGGCAGATCGGCCGAGGATTGCCCCTCGGAGGTGGGGACTTCTTTTTTTTTAAGTTCACTTAATTAACATATAATGTATTATTAGTTTCAGAGGTGGAGGTCGGTGATTCATCAGTCTTATATAACACCCAGTGCTCATGACATCACATGCCCTCCTTAGTGCCCATCCCCCAGTTACCCCATCCCCCCACCACCATCCCCTCCAGTGACCCTGTTTGTTTCCTATGATTAAGACTCTCCGATGGTTTATCTCCTCTCTGATTTCGTCTTGTTTTACTTTTCCCTCCCGTCCCCTAAGATACTCTGGTTTGCTTCTTAAATTCCATATATAGGTGAGATCCTATGATACATGTCTTTCTCTGATTGGCTTATTTCCCTTAGCATAATACCCTCTAGCTCCATCCTTGTTGTTGCAAATGGCAAGATTTCATTTTTTTGGTGGCTCAGTAATATTCCATTGTGTATATATATATATATATATACACCACATCTTCTTTATCCATTCATCTGTCGATGGACATCTGGGCTCTTTCCATAGTTTGCCTATTGTGGACATTGCTGCTATAAACATTGGGGTGCAGGTAACCCTTTGGATCACTACATTTGTATCTTTGGGGTAAATCCCCAGTAGTGCAATTGCTGGGTCATAGGGTAGCTCTGTTTTCAATTCGCTGAGGAGCCTCCATGCTGTTTTTCAGAGTGGCTGCACCAGCTTGCATTCTGAGGTGGGGACTTTTGCAAGATGTTGGGGACTGAGCATACACATATGCGGAAATGTGTTCAGGAGAGTGGGAACAGCCCTGAGTTGGGAGCAGGGCACCATGTTGGCCGGGTGCTGAGGCTGGCCACTTCCCCAGATACTGACTCTGTAATGTGGGGTCTCATCTCTTCCTGTAGGCGTCCTCACGGCCCTCCAGGAGGACCTCCAGGCTTAGCGGTCTGCAGGGCTGGTTCCCTGGGCCAATAAGCCTGTCTGATTTCATTTTCCCCTCCTTGTAAATCTTACAGATCTTACTCCTGCTTTCAGCTGACAACCCAAATGCACAACATAGAGGGTGAAAAGCTCTGCTAATCCCAATGATAGCCACTGTTTGAGCATGTTATTCAGGATTTTTCTATGCTTATATTAATTAGAAGGATTTTCTTTTTAAAAAGAGAGTCCCACTTTCTTCTGTGTGTGTTTCCCCCAGTGCCAGGTAGCGCCTTGCATGCAGTTGGCGCCAGTGGACGTGGGCAGAATAGAAGTCCCTTGCTTCCTCCCCTGCTGTAATCTCTGTAGAACATCACCTTTCCTCTATTATTTAAGCCAGGGGCTTGCTGACGCTTGCTCTGTCGGGAAGCTTTTGGCAAGACTCTCAGCAGTGTTGCCTGGAGCTATCTTTTGATTAATTTTAATTTGATCACTGGGTCTGTGCATAACAATAGTTTAGAGGCTGCTTTTGAAAATGTGTTCTTTTGACTGGATGGAGGGATAGTGCTTTCACTGGTTTCATGTGATCATGCAGTCAGCGGGGTACATAGATCAGAGTTGCTTAGAGGAAGCCGTGTGAAATTGCTAATTTTTATAGGATTGCTAATATTATAGTAATTGCTTTCTCTGCAGCTTAGAGAGCTTTGCGAGGAAAATGCATTCGTGAAAGGACAGATTGTTACTCTTGAAGAGACTATAAATGTCCATGAGATGGAAGCAAAAGCTAGCAGAGAAACCATCACGAGGCTGGTTTCAGAAGTAAACAGAGAGCAGAAAAAAGCTGCCTCCTGCACCGAGGAGAAAGACAAGCTGAACCAGGTACAGTATGTGAAGTGTGCATGTGCACCTGCGATCATGTTTATGAAGCAGAAATTGAAAACCAGATGTGGGTGAGCACACTGGCGTTACTGACCACAGTTTCAAAAGGCTGCTGTCAGCAGGAGGGCTGGTGGCAGCATGGGACGTGGTGACCCGAGCAGGCCGTTGGGTACATAGTTTTTTCCTAATTAGAAAAAAAAAAAAAAAAAAGACACACAACACATTTAAAAGTAGAGTTTGTAGAGAATTTTGTCCTGCTTTAGTTAGACTCTAAGGATTTTTGAAGCTCAAACATTAACTTTTTTTGAAAAGTAGGTAATGCATCCACCAGATACAAAATTCCAAATAGACATAAGGGTATATGGTGAAAATCGTCCCCACCCCCCCACCCCTCCCACCAGCCACCCAGTTGTTCTCCTCAGAGGCAACCTCTGTTAACAATTATTTTTTTTATATACCTTTCTAGAAATGTTCTTTGATGTGTATACTTATTCTTTTTCTTTTTTTAATTTTAATACAAATAGCAACATGCTCTGCATTATATTTTTCCCTTCATTTATTTTTTAACACAAAATGGTAATATACCACACACTATTATAAGCAAGGCTGCTATGAATAATCTTATATTTTTTGGCATGCATGAGAATATATCAGTAAGACAAAAACCCTAGAAGTATACTTGCAGGGTCGAAGGAGATGAGTGTTACTTAGAAGAGACCATCAAAGGGAAGTTCCTCAATGCTAGACCGTTATTTGTACAATGAATTGCTTGATCTTTTCAAATTACCCCAAGCTCTGTTTGAGCATGCCAATTAATACTGTATGTTTTTTAACACTATATAATCTTTCAATTAAATTTTTATATTTTTGTGACAAAGAAACTAATTATGGGATTAATAATAATGGTGAATTTTCAAAAGCAAAAGTGAGCCAATGCAATCAGTTAACAAAGTACGTAAGAGACAATTAAGTGGTAAAGGAGATGTAGTTCAAAATTAGGAAATGACTGGACTGGATTCAGGTTAAATGATTTTGGCAAGGGCACTTCAAAGCTTAAGTTGTAGACTTCATGTTATAGGCAAGTCATGCTAGATTGTTCCTTGTTGCTGACACTAAGTTTGCCCATCTCTTTAGCATAAAGGGACATTTTTTTTTCTTCTGCAGTTAAATAAGGTATCTCTGGGCATATTATTTCTGATAACTGGCAGATTATTTCTGTTCCCCATTGACTTTACTGAGTGGTGTTATCATCATTGATTTTTGTCTGGATTAATTTACATCATGGGTGGCAAAAAGGTAATATTCTAATTTTACCATTCCTTCTGCTTATTAGCTGGCATTAAAGCTTTTTATTTCTTTTCTTTTCAGTTCTATGGACCCATGGATTTTTATTTACTCACTGTGTTACCATCAATTACTTTTTTTTTTTTTTTTTGGTGCTCCAAATTCACTATATTGGCTCAGTAGCAGCCCCTTTAAGATGGTCTCTGTGACCTTGTAAACTGACTCTAGTCTTTTAACAGTTCTTTGCTTTTTCTGACAGAAGTCATCGCCTCTTAGGATCACTTAGAATTTTCAGATTACAGAACTAAAATCAGCCTGTATTGTAGGGAGCGTTGGTGCCTTTTCCTGGAGAATGGTGCTTAAAACCAAGATTTAGGCTCTCGGTGTGCTCATTGCTATTGGGCTGTCATTTCTTTAGGTGACCAGAGCTAGAAATACATTTTTAGTCATAAACTGATACTGGTATTTTTTAATTAAAAGCGATACTTAGAGTTTTCCTAATATCTTTGTGTTTTATATTAGTATTGTTCGAATCTTAATCATAATATCTACTCATTTGCTTTGTCTTAAAATATACATAAAATTATTTCAAAATTACGCTTTTAACATCTTACCTACCAGTGAGCCTTCTGAGTGAAGTTTTAGGCTCTCAGATTTTTTTACATTAATACTGTCAGCAATCATTAGTATAATAGTCACCATTTATCGATCACTTACCATTAGCACAGTCATTGTGCTGAGTGTACTTTGCTCAAGTTCACATAGCTCGTAAGTGGCAAAGCTGGGATTTGAACCCTGGTCAATACGTTACTTTGCTGTCATCAGTAATCCCTTTCCATGTATAGTCAGCTATACCCTACATATCTGTCTGATGCCATCTTGTCAGCAGGACAAGAACAGTAAGTAGCTATGCAAATTTCCTCAGTGAATGAATAACTTGAATTTGATTACAAATTGTAGTTATTAAAGTATCAAGCCTTGGGGCGCCTGGGTGGCTCAGTTGGTTAAGTGACTGCTTTCGGCTCGGGTCATGATCCTGGAGTCCCGGGATCGAGTCCCACATCGGGCTCCCTGCTCAGCAGGGAGTCTGCTTCTCCCTCTGACCCTCCCCCCTCTCATGCTCTCTCTCTCTCATTCTCTCTCAAATAAATAAATAAATAAAATCTTTAAAAAAAAAAGTATCAAGCCTTGAAAATTAGGCATTATTTAATATTTACCTATACGAAAGCATTTCTGAAGATAAGCAGTAGGAAATGAGAATGTGTTATAAGAGCACATTAAAAAAAACGTAACTTATTTCTTATATGTATCTTTACTTGTAAATGATGCAATGTTGTTCAGACTTGGAAACACATTCGTTTTGGGATGAAGTTCCTGCCAAAATAATAAAAATTGTAAAAAAAAATGGGCAATAAAAAACTTGAGGTCTTTTTAAAGTGCTCATTCATAGGATTATGACTCCAAAGATTGACTACCGAAAAATACTGTCAAGTGGTTTTACTGACATTAATGGCCTCAGGAAGAGTCATCATAATGCTTTCTAAAGCTCTGTTTTTGTGGTAGGACTTACTTTATTAGTGAAGCCCAGAATGACTGCAGAAGTAGTACTATTTGCATGCTGGGGTCCTGTTTTTACAAAACACAACTTTTCTCATTTTCTTAATTACTCTACTTACTTTATGACTTTTACTTTATGAAAATTTTCCAAATAAAAATCCAGGTGATTTATTATATATATGGTAAATATATTATTTGAAAATCTTAAGTAGTTAATATTGAAGTATGTTTTAACAACTATCAAAGATTGGCAGTTTTTCTTTCATTTATTTTGAAATAATCCAGTGTTGAAAAGAGTAGGCACTTTCCCTAAAACAAGCCACACACGCATTTCCTATAGGCCATACAAGTTCAGATCAGCAGATCAGAAACTAAACTTACTTATGGGATTTCAGACAGCTTCTTTTCCTTCATGCTGTTCACATTAGCTTTAATTCTCGTAGCTAGAATCGAAGCTAAGAAAGAATATTGGTAGGTCTGGTTTGGAAGGATGTCCCTTCTGCTTGTTTGGTTTTTTACCATGAAGTAGCGAATGGAAGAGAGAACAGCCTGAGACAGTTCACAGGGAGTAGAGTGGTTAAGAGGCTAGGCTCTCAGGTTTTTATCTGGGCTCCAGAGTCATTTGGCTATGTGATCTGAGGCTTATGATCTTATCTCTTGGAACCTCAGTTTCTTGTCTGTAAAATAGAAAAGTAATTTAAGGATCCATCTCTTAAAATTATTCTTAGCACTAGATGACATAATATACACGAAGTACTCAGGACATGCCCATCACATAATTGATGCTCAGTGTTTTTATTTCCTTTTCCTAATTGTTTACATTCACCCAGGGATCCAAAGAAACAAATTTATTTTAAGGGTATAGGCATATGGAAATAAGTTCCTGGAAGTGAGGATTTATTAGACAGGATAAATTACTAAAGAAATTGAAGGTCTCTTTACAATCCTGGAATCATGATGTTGGCAGTGACCTTAAGGTCTTTTAGAATCTAGATCATGTAACCCTCTATGTGAAATCAGAATCATCTTTAAAATGTCACTGTCTAGCTAGTTTCCAGCCTTCACTTGAACTCTTCTATAGACAGGGAACCCACTACTGAACAAGGAGGTCCATATTCTCTATATAGTTTTTTTTTTTAAAAAGATTTATTTGAGAGAGAGAGAGAGAGAGAGAACAGGTGGGAGGGGCAGAGGGAGAGGGAGAGAGAATTCCAGGTCAACTCTGCACTGAGTGCAGAGCCCAAATGCAGGGCTTGATCCCACAACCATGAGATCACGACCTGAGCCAAAATCAAGAGTCAGCCACTCAACCGACTGCACCACCCAGGCGCCCCTCTCTGTATGGTTCTAATTGTTTGACAATTCTTCATTATAGCAAGTCAGAATCAGGATCCCCATAATGTACATCCTCATCTTGGTTCTGTTTTCATGAAACTTCATAGAATAAATTGAAATCGCTTTCTTATGGCTAACTTCAAAGCATTTGCAGACATCTGTTGTGGATTTCTAAGTCTTTTCTTTTGGCTAAGCAGTCTGTATCTCTCAAACTTTGAAACTTCTTTCTTATCATCTGTGAGGTTAGGAGAGTTCTAGCCTCTGGGTGAGGAATTAAAATGAAAATAAACACTAAAATCATATCTTCTTGTATTATAAAAAATGAAACTGTTCATAAGACTCTGAAATAAAATTTAAAACCCTCTCTCCTTCCACTTCTAGTCTCACTGGGGCATTCCTACTTTAGCTTCTGACAGTTACCGTTGAGACTTTAAAGGAATACATTTCTATTCTTGATTCACCAACATGAAATGGTATTTTTAGACTTTTTGCTACAATGTGGAAGAATTTAATGCCTTTTACTTTTTTACTTCCCTCTCTCTACTTCCCAGTTTTACTTTATTATTGTATTTACATTGTCAAGGTTTATAATATTTACATTCTGTTCTGTAACTATAATTAAGTCTTCCATGCTTTGCCTTTAGATTCACTCTATGCATCCAAAATAAGTTAAAACAGCATTTTAAATAGCACAATTACATAAATGTTTTTATTCTGGGTGTAATGCTAGCATGTGATGCTGAACCCATTCCATTTTGACAATGTCCCTCTTAAAAGTTCCAGCTGGGAACTGTCCATGGTCCTCCAGGCACAATCTGACCAGTTCAGAGCGGAGCGTTTGCAGTACTATAGTGAAGCCCAGAACACAGTGGCCTCACGGGCAGCTAAATTCATTGTCAACTTGTATTGTGTTTGTCAATAATGAGAATTTCAAACTTACACTGAATTTTTATTATTTTCCAAGGTTGATGGTGTCACTGGGACAGCCTAAGGGGTGTGTATGTCTGTGTGTGTGTTCCTATCACTATTGACTCAGCACTTTAAATGGACCAGAATTTCCTGGTTGTTTTCATAGTTGTCTCTGTTCTATCATATCTTCCTTCCATTTCTAGTCCCCAGCTACAGGTCCCTTCTCTAGAGATGATCAGAACTGGCAGTCGCTTGTGCTTAGTTCTAGAGAGATGCTCTTTTTATGTAAGTACAATGGCGCTAGACACATGGTTAGGTACCTTACTTTTTTCACTGACTGTATCTTGGAGAGTCTTCCATATCAGTACATAAAAAATTTCCTCAGTTCTTTTTAGGAACTACATATGTTCTATGGTACAGATGTCTCATATTTGTTTAACTGGTCACATATCAGTGAATATTTGTGTAGTACCTAATCTTTTGCTGTATTGTAATGGAATAACTTTAAAAAAATTTTTTTAAATTTTAATTCGATTAATTAACATATAGAGTATTATTGGTTTCAGAGGTACAGGTCTGTGATTCATCAGTCTTATATAATACCCCATGCCCATTACATCACATGCCCTTCTTAATGTCCATCCCCCAGTTACCCCATCCCGCCACCCCTCTCCTCTCCAACAACCCTCAGTTTGTTTCCTATGATTAAGAGTCTCTTATGGTTTTTCTCCCTCTCTGGTTTCGTCTTGTTTTATCTTTTCCTCTCCTTCCCCTATGATCCTCTGTTTTGTCTTAAATTCCACATGTCAGTAAGATCATATGATTATTATCTTTCTGTGATTGACTTATTTTGCTTAGCATAATACCCTCTAGTTGTAATGGAATAACTTTGCACATACGTCATTTTCCATATTCAGTAATCTATCCTGCAGATCTATTCTTGGGACTGGAATTGCAGGACCATGGGGTATGTGCATATTCTATTTTGTTAGATGTTTATACCAGAATTACACCTATCCACACTCCCACCAACAATGTATAAGAGCACATGTTTGGGGAGAATTTCTGAGTTTATTTCTTAATTTTAAATGCAGTAGGTAAAAAAAATCAACTGGTTTTTCATTTTACAAAAATTTTTTTTTAAAGATTTTTATTTATTTTTCAACAGAGAGAGAGAGACAGCGAGAGAGGGAACACAAGCAGGGGGAGTGGGAGAGGGAGAAGCAGGCTTCCTGCCAAGCAGGGAGCCCGATGTGGGACTTGATCCCAGGACCCTGGGATCATGACCTGAGCCGAAGGCAGACACCCAACCGACTGAGCCACCCAGGCGTCCCATCATTTTACAAAAATCTTCTAAGGTTGGATGAATTAAACTCAAGCCAGAGGTTCTCCACTTGGATGATAATTAGTCATGTATTTTTGGTAGTTAGCAACACTAAAATAGGAAACAATTGCATTTTAAAAACAAACCTTTGAATGGTTTTATCACATAATGCATTTAATTGGGAATTAACACAGAGATGCATATAATTGGGAAGGTAAATCGAATGCCTTAGTCATATTATTTACAAGTGCTTTTGTTAAAAGTGGTTGTGAAGGGGTCATTATTCATTTCTTGCATTGGTAGGACAAATGAAAAGTTAAAAGAATTTGGTTAAACAAGTCATCCCTATCACTGTCTCTCTAGGGGCTGTCCTCTTTTGCAAATGTTTTGCTTTGTGGAGGTCAGCCCTGATTTTGCTCAGAGGGTGCTACCTCTTTCTTATTCTGTGTGTCAGTGTGGTCTGACAGCAGTCCCCAGGGCCTGGCCAGTGATACCGATGTCACATTACTTGAGTGGATCCTTGAGGTAGCCATGCAACCAGACTCCACTCCAGCGCTCTGCCAGCTCTGTGGGTAATTGCGTTTGTAGTCTGAGGATTTCTGTTTACAGCAGATCAGCCCAGTGCTCCTAAATCCTGAAGCACTTAATCAGAGCGCTGAGGCAGGGGCCGTCCCTAAGGCCTTGCCCCTGGCTCCCCAGGCCTGCACTTCATGTGAGAAACACCATAGAGTTCACTGGGCTGAAACAGGTCCAGAAAAGAAATCCGGCCTGCTGCCACGTGCCACGGTATTTTATGACCACAAATTCAGTTTTCTGATTTCTCCAGTCATAAAGTTTTGTGCTTTGGATTTGTTGGGGACTGTTTGGGCTCTTGTCTTGAGGGCAGGGAGACAATAGTCTGATATTGGGGTTGGAACAAATTCCTCAGAGCTGGAATATTTTAACTGGTTTAATGGTCTCCTGGCGTAAGCTGCCAGTTGATATATTTTTTTGTGTGTATTTTGAGGACCTTTTGTATGTGGTTAAAAATATCACTCCCTGGGTCATGGAAACTCCCCTCTTTTGCATTAGGGGTTTTCTTTCCATAGAATATTCTATGGAAACATCCTATGTTTTAGGGCTTGGAGGGGATTAGAATTAATTTTCATCTCTGCATCATTGAATTTGGGACCTTCAGTTTTCTAACTGCATGTTAGACGGTCATTTCTAAGTAAAGTAGGGGCCTAATTTATTATCACCAGTACTGATACTGGTTACCTGAATTGAGTAGCTGTTGTATTACTATCCAAAAAGACATCTGTGAAGTGTTAAAATACTGTATTTGTGATAAAGTGTCCTTGACTCTACCTTAAGAGCCATAATTTAATTAGCAGCAGTGGGGCTTCTCCACAAAAAGGACTGGTATCGAAAGGGAAGGGGGAAATGAAGCTGTTGCCAGGACCTTGAGAAGCAAAGCATTTCATGAAATAGGTTCCACAATTAGTTTAGCCATTACTTTTCTGAAAAGGCCAGTCTTCTTTAATGACCTATCCACACTCAATGACTTTTTATTTCAAATTGATGCCAGGGACTTCCTTGATTTAAAAAAAATCACCAGAAAGAAAAAAAAAGTAAGATATTCTCTTTTTTAAAAAAAGTAAAGAAGTAGACCCAGCAATTGCACTACTGGAGATTTACCCCAAAGATACAAATGTAGTGATCCGAAGGGGCCCGTGCACCTCAATGTTTATAGCAGCAATGTCCACAATAGCCAAACTATGGAAGGAGCTTAGATGTCCATCAACAGATGAATGGATAAAGAAGTTGTGGTACACACACACACACACACACACACACACACACTAGAATATTAGGCAGCCATCAAAAAAATGAAATCTTGCCATTTGCAACAACGTGGATGGAACTAGAGGGTATTATGCTAAGCGAAATAAGTCAATCAGAGAAAGACAAGTATTGTATGATCTCACTGATATGAGGAATTTGAGAAACAAGACAGAGGATCATAGGAGAAGAGAAGGAAAAATGAAACAAGATGAAACCAGAGAGGGAGACAAACCATAAGAGACTCTTAACCTCTGTGTAAGACTGATGAATCACAGATCTGTTCCCTTGAAACAAATAATACATTATATGTTAATAAAAAATTTTTTTAAAAAGCAGGCATATGTGATAACCAATGATAACCTGTTTTTTGCAAGCCTAAATTGGGGGTGCATCTTTTAAAATGAGGGTTTTTTTTAAAAAAAACACTTTGCAGATGATTATCTTGGCGTACTTGAGAGAAGCTGCACGGGCATAAAATCAGTTGTCTTAGTGTCTTCCTGTCTTTCACCCAGGGTATTTGTCTTTCTCTCTACTTGCTAAGAACAGGAAATTGCAAAAATAAAGATTTAATCGGTTAAAAAGAAAAGAAAAGTAGCATTTCAAGGAACATCTTTCTTGTCTCCAAGCTGTTGGTGGAGATAAATTCCTTCTGAAGTTCAGTTCTGGTGCAAAAGGGATGAGGGCATTTTAACTAACAGCCTGAAATGTTACTGGCCTGTTTAGACATGGAATCTGTTATTCAAAGATAGTGTTTCTTTTTTGTTGCTTTTGACCCTAACATACTATTTGTAATAAATAACAAATTTTATTTATTTATTTTTTTGCCAGTTACCTAGGCTGCAGTACTGTAGCAGTGCTGTTTAACAAGTTGTTTATTCTTATTTAATGTGAACTCGGGTATTTTAGAAATCCCTGTGAACAAGTTGCTTTTTTTTTTAAATCACTTTTAAAGATGCCCCTTTTATGCCTCTTTGGATCCTTCTAGATTATAGTACATAGAAGCAGGTGCACAGGTAGCCTCCCTTATGCCCTTCATTTATTTTTGTGGACCTAACAATACACATTATATGCTTTCAAATTATTATTCTCAGTGTGGTACTTTATTTCCCTCTACTTTTATTTTTTATTTTTTTAAAGATTTTATTTATTTATCTGACAGAGAGATACAGCGAGAGAGGGAACACAAGCAGGGGGAGAGGGAGAAGCAGGCTTCCTGTGGAGCAGGGAGCCCGATGTGGGGCTTGATCCCAGGACCCTGGGATCATGACCTGAGCCGAAGGCAGACACCCAGTGACTGAGCCACCCAGGCATCCTATTTCCCTCTACTTTTAATTCTCCCACCCACCGAATGGCTGATATTTCTGTCTCTCTTTTTCAGGTTCTATCCATTTTATGAGACAAGGAGATACACAGTAAATGAATGTTGAAAGAAAGATCTGATTTTCCTTTATGCCATGATGTTTTTATGAAAACGCTACTCTATTTAGAATAGTATTAAGGAGGCATCTTTATTCAGACAATTTTTAGTGCATAGGACGCTTTTAGTAGGTAGGACTCTGAAAGTTTACTGTTTATTCAGAATCAATTTCCATGTATGTCAAGCTTTAGAGCAGATAATTCTGTAAACATTTTCTATCTATGGATTGCCTTTTACCAGCATGCTAGACAGCAATTTGTTTTTATTAATTCTTTCTCAAGGTCCACACAGGAAAGGCTTATAGGTCAGTGTCCTTTTCTTAGCTCTGGTTTAACATCCCTTCTCTTTCTTAGACACCTACAGTTAGCTGACATCGCCTTTACAATTCAATAACTTTAGGAAAAGATGGTGGGGAACTTACAGTTAAACAGGGAATGTAAAGAATTAACCCTCACTCCATGAAGTCTGTAAGCAAGGTAAATAAAAAGCAAATGCAAGCGTCCCTCAGTGGCTGCTAAGGTTCCTGTCTTCACTGTCTGTAATTGTTTTCAGGACTTGCTCCGTGCTGTAGAGACCAAAGGAGTTCTTGAAAGGGAAGTCAGGATCCTCCAAGAAAGGCTGCTTGCTGGCCAACGGGTCTGGGATGCTTCAAAGCAGGAGCTGAGCCTCTTGAAGAAAAGATCTTGTGAGTTGGAGAAGAGTCTGGAGGCCAGTCTGGATGCGGCTGCAGCCTCGAGAAGCCAGTACTCCTCATTTAGGGAGGAAGTCGCCACCTTGCTTAGAGGCAGTGGGGACACGACGGGGCCCACGGAGGATGCCGTTGTGGAAAGGATCCGAGAAATGACCAGCCAGGAAGAGAGCAGGAAAAGGGTGAGTGGGAGGTGGCTGCTTGTAAGATTCTTGAGGACAGTCATTTGCTGGATCATTTAAATGTGGCTTTTATTACTTTCAATTATATAGCATACTTTGGCAGCCTGGAGAGTCACTTAAGTGACAGCTGACTACGATGTGGGTTCTGGAGTCAGAGCTACGTGTGCTCAATCCTGTCTCTCCTGCACATTCGCTCACTCCAGGTGTGACGTGGGCAGGATCCTAAGATGACAGCCTCTGAGATTGTGTTTTCTCATCCACTGGACAGGGGAGGCTCTGGGGCCACACCCCTTGTCTGAACCCGCCGGGGCCCGATGTGTTTTAGAATTCAGAATTTTTCAGGGTTTTGAAAGGTCAAATAGTAACACAGAATGGTAATGGAGAGAATGCTCTTCCACATTCCTCCTCAGTGGGGTGTGGGGCAGCACCCCATAATCAACCACATTCATCGTTCTGCAGCAAAGCCCGTGGCGGCTCCATCATGTGGAATGCACCAGGACCATAAGCTTCGTGGCACTTTGGGGTAGGGTTTGCTGCCAAATCCCGTCAGGTCAAGCTTTATCAGTAAGTGAGTGATGGAAAAAGCCATCAGTTTTCAGATGCTTTTGGGTTTTGGAATTGCAGACAAGATTTCCTAGACCTGGAAGAGTATCTGCTTCATAAGGTTATTGTTTGCTGAAAGCATTAAATGAAAAATAATGGTTGTGAAGTCCTTAACACACTACCTGGCCAATAATGATGATAAATATTAACCCTTGCTGCCCCTGCTTCTCTTCTTCTCTGTCCTCCTTCGTAATGGTGCCTGAACAGTCTTTTAAGGGACTTATTTAACACATGGAGAAAGATGTTTTAATTCACATATATGACTGAGGATTGTTGAATTTTGTTACCTTGTTTATACTATTAACAATTCTCCTTTACTACATAGCTTTGCTTAGCTGTGTCAACTTCAGCCTGACTCTGTTTAAATTACCATCAAATCTAAATTATTGAAGTCCTTATTAATGAGGTTTTAAAGTGAACAATATCCAAATTCTAGGTATAATTCCATTGTGATCTGTTTCTTCCATGAGTTCATGCCAATTTTTCCCTCTTTTGATGTTTCTAAAATACCCAGAGAAATCACTAACTCAGAGTTCATGATTGCATTTGACAATTTCCTTTAATGATCAAACATTTTCAGTTCCCTTTAAAAATTCTCCACAATTTGGGGTGCCTGGGTGGCGAAGCTGGTTAGGCGTCCGGCTGTCGGTTTCTGCTCAGGTTGTGATCTCAGGGTTGTGAGATCAAGCCCCGAGTGGGGCTCCCCACTCAGCATGGAGTCTGCTTGAGGCTCTCTCTCCCTCTTCCTCTGCCCCCCTCCCTGCTCTCGTTCACTCTTTCTCTCTCTCAAATAAATAAATAAATCTTAAAAAAACATTCTCCAAAATTCATGTGTGTTCTTAGGAGCAGCCCAAGTGACCCTTTTGTCCAAGTGTAAGATTCTCTTTGTGGATATAAAATGGTCATCCTGTGACATGTGCAGGTCTCTGAGAGTAACTCAGTTTTTCTCGTGATTGGTACTGGATTGGAGAAGAAAATTATTTCCAGGACTGAGAAATACTTCCGTCAGTTATTTACCTTGACTAGCAGTCGATGTACTTCAGTAGCTAATGGTTCTTTACCATTTTGTTTTATTGCTTCCCTCTTCTGTTTTCCCAAATGTTTTCCTCAAATTGTTTTAATTCAGCATGTGAAACATGGCATCAAATTGTCAGCATGATGTATATGTTTATTTTCTAAAGCAAAATGATGTAAATTGGTTAAGCTGGCTATGCCTCTCCCCAGCCCCCCATAAAAATCAGAATGATTCAGAGTCTTTTTAGTGCTTTTGTCTGCCTCTTCTACCCTGTAATTTTTTTTCAATAGCTGTTCTCACTATTTAAAAGCCTGAAATCAAGCATATAGCTGGGGTCTTGTGTGACTCATCTTCAAGTAAAATTAGGAGAAAATGGATTTCATATATTGTCTTAGAAATGTTTCTGAAGAATGGGAGATTTACAAATTGATGAATCTGTTTGTTGAGGAGGCTGTGCACCCCTGGACAGTTGCCTTGGTTAAACACACACTCAGCGGTTGAGTAATACCCACGGGGAGGCCCAAGGGTGGGTTTAGGCGGGGCCTGGCAAATTCGCCGTTTCAGGTCGACTCCTACTTTCTGAACCTTGCTTTTCTTGTTTACCTTGTTGCTGTTCATTTTGACTCTCCTGTGTTTGCAATTCTCTGTAGAATTCAGGACACCACCCACACTTTTTCACTAAGTCATTTCTGCTTGTTCCTTGCTTTTCTGCTTATAGCAAAACCAAGTTCTCTTTTTAAAAGCATTACCAGATCTTGGGAGTAGGGTTTCTCAGGCTTGGCACTATTGACATTTCAGGCTGGATAATCCTTTGTCGTGGGCCCATTCTGTACGCTGTAGGGTATATAGCAGCATCTCTGGCTTCTGCCCACTAGGTACCAGTTGCACCATTTCCTCCCTCAATTTGTAACAACCAAAGATGCCGCCAGACAAATGTCCCTGGAGGGTAAGATTATCGCCAGTTGGAAACCGCTCTCCTAGAGGAATGCCCTACTGTTGGGTTCCTAGGAATTCTAAATGAGCGTAGATGTTATTTAGCCTTGAAATTTCAGTACCTTTGTAACAGGTGTTTTTGAAATAATGATGTCTTGCACAATGACAGAAAGTTGCGACATTTTCAGATTTAGTGTGGAATTTTGAGGCAAACATTTTTCTCTTACTTTTAGATGTTTCCTAACTGCTAATCCTGTGGATGAGAAATGATTATGTACAGAGAGGACATGATCATGTTTGATTTCTATGTCATTTCTTAAGTTAAAGACAATTCATACAAGCTCAGAAATGTTTATCTAGACAGCTCTTTTGTTCTTTAGGCACACATAGGGCTTTATTTCCTCTGCTGGGGTGTTTCTTGGTTCAGTGGCTCTCTGGGAACCGTGGGGATCCAGCCTGATGCTCTAAAGGACCTGAGGCGAGCTCCACACACCCCCCCCACTCCCTCATCTGATCTAATCATTCTGCTCTCTTCTTAATCCTACAATACACTAAATCAAACATTTACCTAGAAATTTTGGCAGACTCCCACTGACATTTCATTGCCCCAAATTATGTTACATGGCCACTCCAGGTGACAGGGCCATCTGGTAGAGTGAAAAGGTAGAGATTTTGGTTCTCCCAGCATCACAGTGTAGTAATATCCTAGGATGGCCATAACAAAGTACCACTAACTTGGTGGCTTAAACAATAGAGGTGTGTTGTCTCCTAGTTCTGGAGGCTAGAAGTCTAAAATCATGGTGGATTGGTTCCTTCCGAGGCTGTAAGGGAGAATCTGTTCCAGGTTTTTCGCCTAGCTTCTGGTAGCCTCATGTAGTCCTTGGCTTATGGATGGAATTCTCTCTGTATCTTCACATTATTTTCCTTCTATTTGTGTGTGTCTCTGTGTCCACATTTTTCCTGTTTTGTAAGGACACCAGTTGTATTGCATTAGGGCCCAGGTCTGTAAAGACTCAATTTCCAAATAAGGGCACATTCTGAGGTACTGGGGGACTTGAACATACCTCTTTGTTGGAGGACCCAATTTAACCTGTAGCAAAAGTGGACATGCACAAAGGTGGAGGGAGTGGAGACAGCCAGTCAATAGGGTTGCCCAAACAAATGGATAAGAAGGAAGGAAAATTTGATTGATATTTTATTCCTGGTTCCCGACAACATAGTTTATATATTTCCTCAGTAAAAGTTATAGCTTGAATAAGGAGAAAAGAGTTTTATGTCCAAAAGGCACTGGTCCTTAAGTGACCCAAGTGGCTCTTCCTCAGTTTAGAACTCTTGTGCTTCCATTTGGTTTAATCTTAGGGCAAAAGTGCCTCTCTGGTGAAATCAACAACTACTTGTCCTTGGCAAGTGAATTAATTCTTTTAGGGCATTATGACTTCACTTCCAAAAAACAGGCTGCTTGTTGTTGAAGTATAATTTACTTCCATGCCTTTTTATTTTATGAGGTATGTTTTCTTTACTATAATCCACCCCCCCCATTCCCATCCCTGGCACATTTTGTCCCATGGAATATCAGGGATATGTTAACAGATGATACTAAGAAAAAGAAGAAAAAAAATAAAAAGATTACTGATTCTTTGGAGTTCTTGGTGTTAAAAACACAACCCATCTTTACAGTTTTGGCAAGACACGTATATTCACCCAGGCACCCATTTGATGTTCCCAAGAACCGAGTCAGATCGGGATGTTAATTTATTTGAATAAATCTATGTACATTTAGCTCTGGAAAAAAAAAAGGTGCTGTCACATGTACCGAGACCCAACTAAGCTCCGTTCTTTGTCGCCTAGAATGTGGAGAGCTTCTCAGCTGTTTGCTCCTCTCTGGACACAAGAATTTTTGTCAGGGCAGTTTGTAGGTTCTGCATGGTTCAGCCATCTCCATACTAGTGGTTTACAAAGTTATACTATGCTGAGTCTTCAAGTTCCGTGCAACCCTCTTGGGTCCCCTCGGGGTGAGGATCCAGGAGCAACCCTTTCACCTTTGATTTAGCACATTGTCCTGTATTTGTGCTTCCCAGAAAGATTTTCAGTTGAAAAACAGGTTCTATGGGCTGCCAGTGGTTTGAGAAACATGACACAGGACAATTCCTGCAGGGCCCCTTTAACTCTTTATGACAAAAGCTTAGGACCGACTCAACCAACATACTGGGGTAGTAATACTGATGATCAGAATGAATGCAGTGTGTTGAACTTCAGTTGGGTGTGCAATACTGTGCTACTCACATTATCTCAGTTATCATCTGATCGTCAAAGCAAAGATGCTGAGTTTCAGAGAGGTTAAAGTACTTGCTTCAGTTCACATGCTGGTGAGGAGTAGAATGGGCGCTCGAGACCAGGACTGTTTGACTCCGAAGACCCCGTGCCACAGTCCGGTCTCCATCAAGATGTCCTCTTCTTTCTTCAGGGTCATTAAGACTCCCTTGGTTTAACTTCCTGTAGGTGCCTGAGGGGTCATCTTCAAAATGGAGTCTTTACTGATCAGTCTCTATGGAAGGCATTGCTTTCTTCGGGGAAATACATACAGATAATGTAATATCTGTAAATGGCACCCCCCTCCCCCAAGTCAGTATCTTGGGGTGTTGTTTGATGGATGTTGTTTTGTAAGTTACTTTGTGTATTGTACCAAGATTCTTGCATTAAGATCACACCTATTATCAGTAAGTGCCGATGGTAGGAAATAACGACCTGAGGTTCTCGGAGGCTCTTACTCTGTAATTAAATTTGAAATTTCCTTGGAGAATATAATTCCTTGGATGTGGTACTAAGCAGCTTGCCATCAAATAGTTGATTTCAAGTACCCACAGCAGTATAGAATTAATTGAATTACAGGCCTGGGACCTTGAGAGCCATGGAAGCACAGGATTAGAGCATTTAGAGATCTAATAGTATAACATTCCTGATTGCAGCCCTTCAGTCCACTCCATAACACTGTTTACACATGGTTGGCCAATTTCTTACCATCTCCAGTGACTGGGAATCCACTGCCAGACATGGGAAGATGCTTAAAATATGAGGTAAACACAAAGACATAAAATTGCAAATATAGTATCTCAACTCTGTTTTAACAGTGCATAAAAATAGATTTAAATATAGAGCAGGAGGGAGAGAGAGAGAGAGAGAGAGAATCTTAAGCAGACTCCATGCCCGGCATGGAACCCAATGTGAGGCTTGATCTCACAACCCTGAGATCATGACCTGAGCTGAAATCAAGAGCCGGACATAACTGATTGAGCAACATAGGCACCCTATTTGAAAACATTAATAGTTGTTCTCTCTGGGTGGGGATTATTTCTTTTTCTTATTTATACTTTATAAAATCCTTAATGAATCTTTTATAGTGGGCATGTATTACTTTGTAATTATGGGGACCAGGAGAAATTCTTCCTTATACTGAAGTGGAATTATTTCTCTGATTTATATCTGTTAGTCCTTAAGCTCTGAGGGCAACTCAGAACAAACCTTATTATTCTTCCATATAATAGGCTTTCAAAATATTTGAGGATGGCTTGAGTGTCTTCTTGCTTTTAAAAATGGTTATTGATAGGAGTGCCTGGCTGGCTTAGTTGGTAGAGCATGCAGCCTCAGGGTCATGAGTTTGAGCCCCGTGTTGGGCGTGGAGCCTACATAAAGAAACAAAACAAAATGGTTTTTGATAGATAAGCAGAATTTTTTTAACTGAAATTGTAAACCTAAAACCATCAAGTTATTTCAATTTAAAAAAATTATTTTTAAAGATTTTATTTTATTTATTTGAGAGAGAGAGAGAGCACACAAGCAGGGGGGAGGGGCAGAGGGGGAGGGATAAGCAGACTCCCCTCTAAGCAGGGAGCCTGACATGGGGCTCGATTCCGGGACCCTGAGATCAGGACCTGAGCCGAAGGCAGATGCTTAACTGACTGAACCCCCCAGGTGCCCCAAATTATTTCAGTTTTGCAAGAATGGTACTGAGTATTATGTAAATATCTATTTTTTTCTTTCCCTCTTCTGAAACAAACCATCAAAACAAAACAAATTTATCACCCCAAACTTGGTGTTTTTATAGAATTCAGCGTTTCATGAAAACTGGATTTGGTAGAATCAATTTGATTATTCTCAGAGCGTACCTGAGGTGTTTGGTAAACTAATGTTCTTGATTAAAGGAATATCAGGACAAAGAAAAACTTCAGGAAGGGATGGAAGCATTGGGCAGGTGAGGGGTGTGTGGAGGGAAGTGGGGCCTTTAATGGAGAAACTGTGATTTCATTTTGTAGGAGAGGAGGTAGCAATCAGATCCTCTTGCCTTCTTGTACGTAGAGTTGCTGTGTTAAATTTGACCTCTCAAATGCTAAAATGATAACATCACTACTTAAGTACACAGCACAGAAATAGCATCACCGGAGTTTGGTGCATGAGTAACCAATATTCAATGGAACATTTAAAAAAAGCTTGAAAAATTATCTTTATGCACTTGAATTCCTGATAAATTTACTATCAAAACTAACTCACTGTATAATCTTTAAACTACTATATCTGGTGGAAGAGTTTCTCCAGAGAATGACACTTACATAGGTTTAAAAGCATTTTCTGTCTGAACTTTTTTTTTTTCTAGCTAAGCTTTGAAACTCCTAAATTAATGGCAGTTTTAGGGGTAAGTCAATATGATCCATAAAATTTCTCAAGTAACCTGTTTAAGGAATTATATAAAAATTAAAAATACCAATAGAAATATTTTATTAGATAATGAATGCATGTTTATTTCAAGGGGAGGCAAAGACAGCTATCAAATTACCTGTTTTTTAATTTAATTTTTACAAAGAATCTGGAAGTTGGTGTTATAAATAGTTATGTTGCTTGGGCTGAGCACTAGATTTTAACACTTTGTTGCATTGAAAACAAGGCTTATCCTTGTCTGTTTCTTTGTTTCCAGATGGTTTCCCAGCTTGAAGCCCGAATATCTGAGCTTGTGGAACAGTTGGGAAATGAATCTGGGTTTCACCAGAAAGCTCTACAGAGAGCCCAGAAAGCAGAAAACAAGTTGGAGACTCTTCAGGGTCAGCTGACACACCTGGAGGGAGAGCTGGTTTCTGGAGATGTTTTGCGAGATCACTTGAATTTTGAGAAACAAAAAGTAATAACCTGACGGTATATCCATGGGTAGAAACATCTGTTGCAGTGTAAAATTTTACCTGAAAATATTCCGAATTTTATAGTATTTCAGTAGAACGGTTACGTCTGAGAAATAAGGAAATGTCAAGGAACAACAGATACTGTTTTGGGGGATCTTCCCATTCTTGGGGGCTTTCTTGAGTCAGATTAATCCAGTTAAACTCATCATACATGAGACCCTGATGATTTGAGGGCTAAGGTATGAATAACACACAGGTCTTGATCATAAAATCTCATAAAAGCCTTGATCATAAAAGGCTCTTGATCATAAAAGGGTCATCATTCAATAGAGGAGGCCGACATTCTAGTAATTTGCTGTGACGGTGAAGCTGTATGTGTTGTAAGAGATGGATTGATTGATGAAATGCTGTAGGAATTCAGTGAAGGGAATGATGACTTCTGGATAAGGGGAGGATTTTTACAGGGGAGAGAATAATGCAGTTCATCCTTGGAGGAGAAGTTGGATTTTAGTGGAGAAGGTGAGCAGATCCTGTAGGGCCAACAGGTTGAGCAAGGGCATGAAAGCTTGTAGGTGCATTGTTAGGTCAGAGTGCAGAGTGATTGTTCCCAGTTGGCTGCAACACTGCACCCTTGATGGGGTTGTGGCAAGAGAGAAGACTAGATTTATTTGGATTAGGAAGATTCTTTATTCTCTGCTTTGTAGAATATGGAGCCTAATAAGTGACTTTGAGTGTTGTGATGTTTTGGAAAGAGGACGTGATGTCCCTGTGAAGCTGAAGTTACAGTAGGGACAGACTCAGAAATGCTAATGGCGCTAGCCCCGTGGGCAAGAAGGAGAATGGAGTGAGAAGAGGAGGGGACCCCCCCTTCTAGTAGAGTGGTGAACAGAGGCCAGTTTGCACTGGGTTGAAAGGTGAGTGAGAGGGGAAGGCTAGAGATGTAGAAAGAGATTCTTAGGAAGTCTGATGAGCAGGGAGAAAAAGACATGTAGCAGGAGGACCAAAGAAAGGTTTTATTGGATGGAATGGGAAGGTACATGTTTGTGGGTCCCAGGAGTCTGCATGGGAAGAAAAGGACAAATGGGGTTGGAATTTGGCATGAAAAACACGCTTAGGTTAAAAAATCCGCACCCTGGAGACTCGTTCATGCTCATTTTTCTGTACTTAAAAAAGCCGAGGAAACATCTTGCTTGCATTGAGGGTTGGCTAGGCAAAGATGTGTAAGGGGTCTGTGGGAAATCCTAGTCTAAGTGGATGGGACAGGTAAATGAGGACACAGTAATTAATTAATGGAAATAGGTATAAAATTCAGCAGGAACTTGGGTAAAGTTCCTATTTCTGTGTGAGGAAATGAGCCCTTTTCACATAGGAGGTGGCATTCATGAGAGGCTTTAAAGAATGAGTAGGAATTTGTCAGGCAGAAGAGGTGGGGAAGGGATTCAGGGTACAGGGAACAGCAGGAAGGAGGAGGGAATGGAGATGTGCCAGACTGCTCAGGAGACCAGTGGGGCACGGGGAGACTGAACATGGTGCGTGGTGAGGCCAGAGGCATGACGAGACTCTACAAGCATGTAGGAATAATTGGCATAGAGAAGGCTAATTTCCCAAGGCTTTATCCTTTGGGTAACAGGACCCTGTAGAAGGTTTTAGAGTAAAAGAAAGTGAAAGAAAGAAAGGGTTTTGAGTCTCTGAAAGCAGACTGGCTCTGAGGACCTAGAGACTTAAAGGCAGAGAGCCCAGCTGAGGGATTCTTAGAATAGTGCAGAATGGAAGCTAATAAATGTTTGGACCAAGTAGTGGTTTTATGAATGAAGGGGTAGATTAGAGATATTGGGGAGGGTGAAGGGTATCTGAAAAAGGTGTGTTTGTTGAAATTTTAAGTTTGAAAGGACATGTTGCCCCTGAATACAATATGTTGCATTGGAAGAAGCCTGACTGCTGGACTGTCCACCTAGATGTCCCACGTATGCCTTGCACTAAACATATTCCAAATGGAAATGATCACCTCTCCACAGATTTGCCCCCTCCTGCCTCAGGGATGATCAGGTCATCTGCCTCCAGGTGTCCAAGCCAAAAGCCCCAGAGTCATCCATAATGCTTCCCTCTTTTTTTTTTTTTTTTAAGATTTTATTTATTTATTTGACAGAGAGAGGTAGCGAGAGCAGGAACACAAGCAGGGGGAGAGGGAGGGGGAGAAGCAGGCTTCCTGCCGAGCAGGGAGCCTGATACGGGGCTCGATCCAGGACCCCGGGATCATGACCTGAGCCGAAGGCAGACGCTTAATGACTGAGCCACTTAGATGCCCCAGTGCTTCCCTCTTTTTAAGCAATTCCTAAACACTATAGTTTCCATCTCCTTAAGATATCTCAAATACCCTCTGCCCCCAACTCTGTATTTAGTGGTAGTGCTTTGACTCAGAGCATTATGGTCATTTGCACGGACTCCAGAAGCAACCTGACAGCTCCCCACTGTGCTGGGGAGGTCTTAATAAGAGGCATGTCTAGTCTTACCTTTCTCCATCTTAAAACTGGCCAGGTGCTCTCCGTGGCCCTTAGGCTCAGCTACAGATTCCTTCTCACCATGGCTGAGCATTGTGTGACCTGGCTAGGTACCCCCTCCAGGCTTCCCATCACCCTGCCATCTCTCCAGCCCACGGTGGCAAACTGAAGGCCTCTGCGGACCAACAGGGCCCTGCAAGGGTGTGGGGGGATTGAGTCCAAAGATACCCATGTTCAAATTTGTAAAAAAACCCCACTTACCTGGCGCAAAAAAAAAAAAAAAAAAAAGAGAGGGAGAGAGCCCCCTTAACATCCCATATTGCACATTGCTGTTCTCTCTGAGAGAATGTTCTCCTTAACTCCTTCACCTGGTAGTAGCTGTCCCTTGACGACTTGGCTCCAATAATCACTTCCTCTGGGAGTCCCTTGGAGGCTTAGTTTTCCTTCAGGCAACATGTGTCTGTGTCTGTCACAGCACTTAGGTTTATTATCTTAACTTTTTTTTTTAAGATTTATTTATTTATTTGAGAGAGAGCGTGTGTGCAGGGGGGAGGGGCAGAGGGAGAGGGAGAGAGAGTCAGCATCGAGCCCATCATGGGACTCAATCCCATGACCCTAAGCTGAAACCAAGAGTTGGACGCTTAACTGACTGACCCACCCAGGCGCGCCCCCCCACCGCCCCTTTCTTCAGTTTTTAATTCATCTTCTCCTGTCAACTCCAAGATTCCTGAGGCCAGGGGAAATTTTTATTTTCTTTTTTTCTGGGTTTCTCCAGCACTTAGGGAAGAATTAAATAAATAGTGTTTAAATTATGAAGAAACATAATAAAAGGCAAAAATTTTAGGTAGATTGCTGTCTCTTCCCTTTTTTTTTCATTGTAATGACTCATTAATTTTCGCTGAGACTGTGCGAAAAGAACTCTCAGTTATGAAAGCGAATTATGTAAACAGATTCCGTCCCGGTGACTATTCTGTAGATAACCACCTACAACATGCACATCCTAGTGAGGGGGATGGGTGTGTAAACAGGAAAATCTAAGTTGTACAGAGTTGAGATTTAGATACAGGTCATTGAGGTTCACACTGAATAGAAGATATCTAGGCTAATCTGTGACTCAAAGAAACAAGCTGTACAGTAAATCCTTCGAGTAACCCTCGCTTTCTGAGGCACAGCCGAGGTCCTTGAAATGGGCACTTGTTCTGTGGGGTGTTGGCTTTGTCCTGTCTTTATCCCTTTTTGCCTGTTATAGATCTTTGCATGCTAAGTGGATGGGTCACCTGTAGACACAGCAAGAGAGGCTTTATACCCCCATGTGAAATGTACTGATTCTATTTACAAAACAAACAATAGCAGTTATTTTCCTTTCATTCACAAATGTTAGAAATGAGTAATTCCAGGGGCGCCTGGGTGGTTTAGTCTATTAAGTATCCAACTCTTGATTTCAGCTCAGGTCATGATCTCAGGGTCGTGAACTGGAGCCCCATGTGGGGCTCCGCACTGGGCGTGGAGCCCACTTACGTTTCTCTTTCTCCCTCTCCTTCTGCCCCTCCCCCCCACTCGTGTACTCACTCTCTCTCAAAAAAAAAAAAAATGAGTAATTCCAAGGGCAGAGCTGATACAGCATTAAAGATTTTATTTATTTATTTGAGAGAGAGAGAATGAGAGAGAGAGAGTACGAGAGGGAAGAGGGTCAGAGGGAGAAGCAGACTCCCCGCCGAGCAGGGAGCCCGATGCGGGACTCGATCCCGGGACTCCAGGATCATGACCTGAGCCGAAGGCAGTCGCTTAACCAACTGAGCCACCCAGGCGCCCCCTGATACAGCATTAAGAAGTGACAAATTGATGGGCGCCTGGGTGGCTCAGTTGGTAAGCGTCTGCCTTCGGCTCGGGTCATGGTCCTGGGGTCCTGGGATGGAGCCTCACAGTGGGCTCCCTGCTCAGCAGGAAGCCTGCTTCTCCCTCTCCTACTCCCCCTGCTTGTGTTCCCTCTCTCACCGTGTCTGTGTCTCTCTCTGTCAAATAAAAAAAAAAAAAAAAAAAAAAGAAGTGGCAAATTGATGATGTGAGAACAAAAGAAGCAACCTATGGTCTTATAGCATAACACAGTAACCCATGGTCTTGTAACACAGCCAAAAAGCAATATTTTGCTATGACTGTGCCTCCCAAAGAAGAGATTAAATTTTAGATATGCCATTCAGCAAAATTTGGAAATATTCACAATTTCATCTTGATGACTGAAAGTATAGATAGTTCTGGGCTTCACACTGGCATGCTTCAGTCATCAGGAAATTATACTTATTTAAACATATAATTGCCTCAGAGATGCCAGATAGATGAGTACTTACTGCAATGTGAAGCAAGTTTCAAAGAGAGAACCCAAATCGTGAAGTGATGATGCAGAAAAGTCATTGATTGGTTCACTCATCCAGCAAGCATCACTCTGGCTGGCATGGCCAGAAACCACAGAAATCAAATGGAGGATACAAAAAATACTGATTCAAAGGGATACATGCACCCCGATGTTTATAGCAGCATTATCAACAATAACCCAATTATGGAAAGAGCCCAGATGTCCATTGACTGATGAACGGGTAAAGAAGTTGTGGGGTGTGTGTGTGTGTGTGTGTGTGTGTGTGTGTGTGTGTGTGTGTGTGATGGAGTATTACTCAGCCATAAAAAAGAATGAAATCTTGCCATTTGCAACAACATGGATAGAACTAGAGTGTATTATGTGAAGTGAAATAAATCAGTCAGAGAAAGGCAAATACCAAATGATTTCACTCATGTGGAATTTAAGAAATAAAACAAATGAACATTAAGGGAAAAAAAAGAGAGGCAAACCATAAAACAGACTCTTAATTATAGAGAACAAACTGAGGGTTCCTGGAGGGGAGGTGGGCAGGGAATGGGCTAGATGGGTGATGGGTTTTAGGGAGGGCACCTCTTATGATGAGCACTGAATGTTGTATGTAAGTGATGAATCACTAAATTCTACTCCTGAAACCGATATTATACTATATGTTAACTAACTAGAATTTAAATTAAAACTTGGAAGAAAGAAAAAGGAAAGCAAGTGGAGGAAGATCCTAGAACAGTTTTGTAATGCTAACCTGTTCAAATATGAACCTTTACTTCCTTGATATAGCTCTATTTTACAATGTTATTCCTTAAAGTATGATACATTAAAAACTCTTAAAGACATGTTTTTTTGTATAGGATTCTAACTTAAAAAAGCAAAAACATTGTCCAAGTGTGTTTGTATGGCAAGAGCTTTGATTTTGGAGTGACTGGAATGGTGACTGTTGTAATTTTTTTTTTCACATTTGAGGCCAGGGCCCACTTAGGTGGGAAAAATTGCCATGGAAGTTTTGTGAGTGAGTAGATCTCAGGGGTTGGATTAACCTGGAAGAGGCATCATGGTATCGGCAAGTAGTCAAAACAGAGACATGTGGATGTAGTCAGGATGGTGCCAGATTTGTCCCACGGTGGGGTGACGAAGAGTGTCTAATGTTAGGTTGAACATCAAGATCACTGACAAGGAGAGTCAAGTGAATTTGGACAAGAAGCAGGACATGGAACTGGCAGGGTGGTTCAGGAATTCATTAGCAGGCACTGGGGTCCTGGGCTGGGCTACAGACTGGGTTTAATGAGACCTATCTGTAAGCTTGGGATCCTGTGAGATCACCTGTTAATTTTGTTTTTGTGTCTCATTTTAATTTTTGTTCTTGGGTTTAGTATCTTAAATTTCTGGATCAGCTCTCAGAGAAAATGAAATTGGACCAGATGGCTGCTGAACTTGGCTTTGACATGCGTCTGGATGTAGTTTTAGCTCGCACGGAGCAGCTGGTCCGTCTCGAGAGCAACGCAGTCATTGAAAACAAGACTATCGCCTACAATTTACAGAGAAAGGTAGGGGATATTGAAACTTGCTTGAGAAAAGGAATTGCAGAGAGACTTAAATACTGAAAAATAATGTACCCCTCCTTTCTATTTGCCACTGTAGTTAGGAAACATACAAATACATATTTAGAATTTGAATCTCTGTTTCAAGTTTGAGGGATGGTAAGTATATCACCTAAGGTTATGTGTGACTGTGAGTAATAGAGACCCCAAATAAAAGTGACTTAAATGACTAGAAGTGGCCCCCTCACCTCACATAAATTTCTGGAGGGAGACGGCTCAGGTTGAGTGTGGCAAGTCTGCTCTGTGAAGTTTTCAAGGAGCCCAGCTGATTTCAGCTCATTAATCTCCCATCCCTAGGGTGGTCCACATCCTGATGGTTAAAATGGCACCTAGAATCATCATGTCTGTGTTCCAGACAGATTTTGGAGAAGAAAGGGATGAAGAAGAGGGATGCAAAAGAGCATGTGTGAGCTGTCTTTTGACGGGAGGCTTCCAGAGTTTTCTATGTAAACTTGTATTTATATCCCACGGTTCTGATGGCTGAAACTAGCTGCAAGGGAAGCTGGAAACTGTAGTCTTTATTCTGGGTAGCCACTTCCCTCACTAAGAAACTCACTGTTTATTCTTAAGGGAGATGAGGGGAGCTGGGAAACATGTAGCAGTCTCCAACTGGATAAACTCTCTCTCTCTCTCTCTTTTTTAAAAGATTTTATTTATTTATTTGACAGAGACACAGCGAGAGAGGGAACACAAGCAGGGGCAGTGGGAGAGGGAGAAGCAGGCTTCCCTCGGAGCAGGGAGCCCGACGTGGGGCTCGATCCCAGGACCCTGGGATCGTGACCTGAGCTGAAGGCAGACGCTTAACGACTGAGCCACCCAGGTGCCCCTGGATAAACTCTCTTGCATTGGATAGTAAAGTGAGGAGAAGAGCTAATTTTCCACTCACTCAAAAGAGGAGAAACAGTTTAGATGAAATAAATGAATGAGTGGATGAAAAGGATAAAAATATAATGATTAGTTATATAATTATTGGCATTGGTGAAAGAGCAAAACACAGATGTGTTCTTGTAATAGTTCTTAGGAGAAAATTCTGTGGTGGAATTATAGTGTATAGGCTGTGTAATGAGTCACATCTGGGATCCCAGTTTGGTTCCACCAAGCTCTGTGACCTTGGACAAATTACATACCTCTCTGTCTCTGTTTCCTCATATTTAAGATGGGGATAATATCTTCCTCATGAGCTTGTTCATTTTTAATAAAATACATGTTTAAACTCTTGGCTTATAGACTGTACTCTATTCACATTTGACCTCTTCTCCATTTACTGGATTTTTAGGAATATTTTATTTAAAAAAAAGCAGATAACCCTGTTACCATCAGAGACATTGAATTAAGCTATAATTCTTTGGGTTCTCCTCAGAGAATGGATTTCTTCTTCTTTATCCAACACCATTCCTTCTTAAGTATTGTATAATTTTTAAAATTACCAGTGTACAGAACTTACCAGTGTAATTTTGCAGTAGAGTGGAATTTGACGTGAAAAAGCTCAAGGAAGGGAATTTGGCTAGAGAAACACAAAAAGGGCTTTGTTAAAGATGGATCTGGGTATGGACTATGCTGTCATAGACAAGCCTGCGTTTCAGTCTGCCCTTCACATCTCTGAACACTTTACAAATGCAGAGTATATAATTAGCGAAAATGCGACAGTCTTCAGCTCTAACATTCTAGAATTCTACACGATTCCAATTCCCAGTGTTTGCAATGGATGAAGGAGGTTTCTGTACTTAATATTCTACTCACTAAATGTGACATTTGAAGCCTAGGAGGATTTCCTCCCCCCTTAGAGTCCATAATATTTTTTTAAAAACCACCATAATTTCCTTCATCAAGTTTGACTGTGAGTGATAAGTGCTGTTTGAAGAACTTGTTCTCTGCTTGGTTTGTGGATGGCATAGGCCAGGCGTATAATAAAGATACCAGTGAACTAAAACCTTCTTGATGTCCCTTCTATTTCAAAGATTTTAAACATGTAAACAAAGCTTTCTCTAAACTCTCCCTGGTATAGCTTAATTTAAAAATATATCAGCTCTCATGTTTGGTGTTGCTCAGTCTGGTTCTAAGGGATTGAAATTAGCCAGTCTAGGTTTTTGGTACTAACCTGCACTCTGGCTTCCTTTAGAAAAGACCAGTGTAAGTATAGTTGCCATGGGGTTGTGGAGAGGATTTTGTCTCTCTACCCTATTCTGATCTTGATAAGCCCATTGTAGTAGTTTTAAAAGTAATTTTATGTGTCTATTATGCTGTACATACTGTGGGAGGGAATCAGATGTTGAAAGCCTACTTCTCTCTGTGTCTTCTGTGGCTCTTTTGTCTCATCCTTTGCAGCTACAAAATTAATTCTTGGAAAAATAGGAATAAAATATGCAATCGGGAAAAGGAATCCAATAACCTTTTTTGGTGGTTTACAAATTAGTTTTACTGAAGTGTAGATAAAGATCAACATGATCTGAGTGATTCATTTATATTTACTGACTGTTCAATGATTATTTAAAAAAAAAATCCCTGTTTGTATCATATCAGCTCAGGACTCAGAAAGAAAGGCTGGAGAGCAAAGAACTACATATGAGCCTCCTGCGGCAGAAAATCACCCAGCTGGAGGAGGAGAAGCAGGTGCGTTTGGCCTTGGCTGTGGAGAGGGATGAGACCAATCTCACCCTAAGAAAGTTGCAGAAGAGGGTGGAGAGGCTGCAGAAGGAGCTGAGTGTGTGTCGAGAAGCGAACACGGAGCTCAAAGCCAAGCTGGCTGAGCTGAAGGCAAGTGCTCAGCTTGGTTCCCTTGTTGCTTTTTGCAAGGTACCCCTTTAGTTTATGTGAAAGAGTAGAAGTCTCACAACAGACACAGCAGAAGAGAAACAGGGACAAAAGCTTCCTCTGGTTTTCTGGAGTTGTGGGGGAAATGCAAAAGCTACACAAATCAGCATATTAGATCATTGTAGAGTCTCCTCTATAGTTGAACCCAAGCCATGGTTGTTGCTGCGTGAAAAGTCCATCAAAAAAGGGTGATGTCGGTGGTGGGGGGTGATGAAGAAGCCACTTCCCATGATGAGCACTGAATAAGATGTAGAAGTGTAGAGTCCCTATATTGTACACCTGGAAGGAATAGAACACCGTGTAGGAACTATCCTGGAATTCAAAGAAAAAAGAAACGAAAGGGGTGATGTGACATAGAGAAAATATAAGCATTTCTTCGAAGTGTGGTATTTGGGATCATGTAGGGAGCTATCACGTGGGAATCTGCTTAGGAAGAAGTGAGCAAATGAGCACAGCCGTTCACTGAGAAGAGTCAGGCAGGCAACAGTGTTTCATGAGCTTGGTGAGATGCCTTATCCCCGGAAGGGAGGAAGGTACTCAGATCAGGGCAGTGTGCTTCCTGGATTTGAAGAGAAGAAAGGAATGACAACTTAAACAAATTTAATCAGAATCTTTAAATGTCCTGTATGTGTGCCCCCTGGAAAGGGTATGTAACTTCATAGGCACCTATCACTTCTGGCAGATATGCGTGTTGTGAATACAAGTGTGAATAATGTCCTGGCTCTTTGCAGATGAGCGCTCTGGACTGGACTTCTGGAATGTTTCTGAATCTGGAAACAGACCAAGAGGGAAAAGGAACCTGGCATTAAGCTAGCACTTAAATATGTATGGTGGGGACAGTATTTTAGGAAATATTTCCTATTGTATTCTTTTCTTCTGAGTCATTAGCTCTTTTCCCCTGAAACCCTTCTGAGTTGAGGCTTATTTCCCTCCAGGAGAAAAAGGGCAGACACAGGCCAGGGGAGGGGACATATTTAAAAATAAGGAAAGCAGGAAACAAGGGAAAGCATCTTCTGATGGGATGCAAAAACTGAGGAGCAAATATTGAGGTAAGTATCTTCCACACCCCCTCACACCTTGAGACTGATCTTTGGGGGGGTGTTGGGGTGGGGGTCCACAAGCCACTGCTCCCCACCCTGGCTGGAAGGGGCTGCAGGGGTGCTGAGGGAGCATCTGTGTTGTAAAGCCAGATTTTCAAATGTCCTGTGGTGGATACAAAGTGTTTCTGGGTGGTACATGACAGGGCATTATATAATGGTCAGTCCTGAAGTGAAAAATGGGTTCCCTTTAGATTTTTCTTCCAATTCTCCCCATTGTCAAGGAGAAAATCTTAATCAGAAGTTATGTCTTTACTACTATTATTTACTACTTTACTACTATTATAGCCTTGGGCCCGGGAAGAATCTGTTCTATTCATTGGCTTCCTCATGTGGGGGGAGAGATGAGAATAATTCCCATAATTGGTGTTAAATAGGCAGGTGGCAAAGCATAGACTAGGAATGATAAATAAAGTGAACTCAGATTTCAAAACGGGGAAGTAAATTCGGTCCTTAAAAAAGGGACATGTTTCACTGTAAGCATGTGTCAATGGAATTCCTCAAAGAAATCTGTGATAGGAAGGAAGCGTAGATAGCACTGGGGATTTTCACGCACCGAGCTTGCCGAACTCCTCAAAGCCGGAGGAGAAGAGAATGACATGGAGCGGTCTGGGTGATTGCTAAGGGTGACGAAGTGGGGGGGACATTGGGGAGGCCTGATGCCTGATGGCTTCCCAGAGGAAGGACCTGAGTGAGGATTTCCTCATAAGACCACAACTGTGTTTCGGAAACAAGGTGCGGCGGTGCTGGTAGGTACCGTGTGAGTTGCTTCTTTTCCCTAATTCCCTCCACCCTGCGGCTGGAGACATCTGGTCCCTACCAACAAATTTTCCCCTTCTCATATAGTGTACTTTTCTGTCCTTGGGAGAAATTAAGAAGCTTAATTTAAAAAGTCAGGGTTGCCTCAACCTTGCTGTGTATTTCACTGCTAACCTCATTGTGAAATCTACACAGCTTCCGGCTGAGCATCTCTTCTCGTAACTGGGTTGCAGCTGTGCTTTTTCTACCCTGCCCATCCCCTTATCATCTCAGAGCCCCTTGCTTCCCCTGAGACTGGAGGCCTGCCTTGCTTTTGCCAGTTTCTAAGAACTGAGCTTCCGTCTCCGAATGACCTGGGCTGGGCCCGACGAAGGGCTGTCAGGACTCAGTGACATTAACTGGCAGGTTCCAGCTAGCTCTCCGCATCTGGCCAGATACGGTACAGCTAAAATAGAATACTGTGGTGAATGAATATACTATAAAGCCGGGTACAAATATTCGTTGCCATTGTAGCTAATTTTATCACTCCTGAGGGTGGCAGTTTGTACTGTGGGGCTGGAGGAGCCTTTAGAATTACCACACACCTCCAGAGCCTGAGTAAGGTTGGCCTGCATGGAGCATGGCAGCTCACAGTCTAGCAGCCAATGAGGTGATGATGGAACAAGGGATTCCCCATTGGCAACGTCCGGGAACAGGGCCCAGCACCTGCTGGGTGAGAGTGGAGAAAGAGTGGCTTTGGAAGTGGGGCAGCTCCTGGTGAATGGCACCTTGGAGGTGTGGGTCTGAGGAGGGCATCTTCCAGGCTACGTGTATTGAGAGTAGTGCTGGGACCCTTAGCCAAGACAGCCCTATAAGCTGGAGATGGTGCTGGGGAGAGAGGAGCCCACACTTTCTGTAGCAGAAGGGGGAAAACAGCTGGTGGAAATTGAGCCCTGTATCTGAGGAGTATGTTTGGTCGCAACAACATCTGCCTCACATCTGCATTGTATTTCGCCTGGATGATTATAATTGTCTGCAAGTGGTCTTTCCACTTAACCTTTCACAGGCAAGCCTGATTCTTGTAATTAAGTTTTGCTCTTTGGGTGACGTGATTATGCAATGTGTCGTTCTGGTGATAGTGTCAGGTTTACCAGTTTCTTCTTCTAGTGTCCGTGGGGTAAAGCAACATTTTCAGGTGTGGGGCACATAGCTCTTGGGACACATAAAATACTTCTAGGTGCTGCATGACAGGTCACTATATAATGTTCAATCAGGAGGTGAAAAATGGGTTCCCTTTAATTTTTCTTCCAACTCCTTCACTATCAAGGAGAAAATCTTAGAGGTTATTATGTCTTTATGCCCCTAGAACATTTACTAGTCTACATTTTAAATAAAGAATAAGCCTTAAGCTCAGGGCTGAGTACAAGCCATAGTACCTAGTTTTACTGTTTTGTTTTCATTGTACAGTGGGGTTTTTTTTTCTTCTTTTTAAAAAAATTTTAATTCTAGTATAATTAACATATAGTTGTATTAGTTTCAGTTGTATAATATAGTGATCAACTGTTCCATACTGACTCAGTGCTCCTCATGGTCATTGTACAGTGTTTGCTTTATTGTTATCTTCCAGTTGTGGCAAATTCTACTGAAATCATACAAAATTCCTTTTCATAGAAATAAATTCAGGTAAGTTCAAAAGATGGTTGAGTTAAAGAAAAAAAATGATGACCATAGGTGATATGTGGATATGGCAAAAATTGTGGACGTGGAATCGGAGAAATTGAAGTATACATGAATAGATTGAAGAAGGGGATGATCCCAGTGATAACCAGATGCAATCAGCAGGTGGACAGAAGCTCGGTCAGCTGCTGCTGACACCATGCTTGATGTCCAGAGTCAGGGGGCAGTGGCAGAAGAAGCTGGGCAGCGGGCAGGGGCCAGATCACCCAGGGCCTTGTGTGTCTCCTAAGATGCTTGGACTTGTCTTCTGGGTCCTGGGGAGCCATTGCAGACTTTCAGACGGGAGAGTGCAATCATCAGGGAAGAGACTAAAAAGAAACAGAAACATGGAGCGAGAGCAGGGGGTCTCCAGAATGAGGCTGTGACCGATAGCCTCAAGTGAGGCAGTAAGGTAGAGGGGGAACGGCCATCCACTGCGCTTGGCGTTGGGCACCTATGACTCAAGCATGTGTATTGTAGATTGCACGCGGTCGTGGGTGAAGGCGTTGAGAATAGGCCAAATGCCAGAATGCTAAGGGATGAAGGAGAAGTAGAAACAAAAGTCAGTGGCCTGCTCTTCTGGAATACTTGGATGGAAAGGGGAAGAGTTGGGAGAGTATATAAAGTGGGCTTGTGTGTTTATTTGCTTTATTTTGCATAAAGAGATCCACTTTTTTTACTAGCTAAGGTTATAGGAAAGGTATAGGAGAGGTGGGATTTGAGTGACTCAGGAATGACTCAGGCCCTTCACCACGAACATGGGATGCTAAGTCTGCCTTCCGCTAGAGAACAGAGATCTCTCTAACTTACTGAGTGAATGCTAACTTCATGAATTTTTCTCTCATAATTTTGGAGGCCAGGAGCCTGACAGCAAAGTGTTGGCAAGGTTGATTCCTTTTGGGGAAGATGAGGGCCCATCCGCTCCATCCTCTCTCTGGGCTTCTGCTTACTGCCTGCACGAGCGGGATTCCTCTCTGCCGACACCCTTAGGCGACTGTCCCCTCGTGTGTCCCTCCTTCTCTGTCTCTTGTAAGGACACCCACCATTGGTTTTAGGGGTCACCCTATTCCCGGATGATCTCATCGTGAGATCCTTAACCTTAATGATACCTGCAAAGGCCCTTATTCCAAATAAGGTCACATTCTGAGGTTCTGGGTGGACACGTATTTATTTTTTTGGGGGGGAGGGACACAGTTCAGCCCACTACACTTATTAAATTAAGAATTAATTTCACCATTTATGGAAGGTCGATATAAAAGATATTAATTTGAGCTACATTCCTATACCTTAAAAAATTCAGGCCATAAAATTCACCCTTTTAAAGTGTACAGTTCACTGGCTTTTTTTCTTAAGAGTTTATTTACTTATTTGAGAGAAAAAGAGCACAGGCAG